TCTCCCCCTCCCTCTCTATCCCCCTTTCCCCCATCTCTCTTTCCCTCTCTCTCTCTCTTTCCCTTTCTTCTAACAGAATTATATATATATTTAAATATTTAGTTTTCGAAGGCTGTTTTGCTAAATCCGAAAAGGCAAGTGACGACCGTAAATTCTAACTGCTTTAATATTTCTTCAAGATATATGATTGATACTAAGGTCATGTTAGGTTAGGAGACGTATACACTAACTCTAGGATCGGGTGGTTGCAAGCGAGATGTCGTCCTCTAGTTTCGTACACGTGGTCCGTGGACCGTACCAGTCGCGATCCCCACTACGTCATATAACGATGTGAATTAACCGTGTGATATGGCGAGCATGCTTTCGTACGTGTCTGTCTTAACTAACGCGTGTTCCCGGATGCGCTATTCGGTTCGCATTCAAGCCAATAACGTAGACGAAGTCGGATGCGTTGTGTTTTATTATATCTGTTTTGTTAACGTATATACATATAATATTATATACTACGTAAGGGTTTGTTAAATCGTCTCAAATTTAGTTTTGATTGTACGTTAAATGTTTAGTACTACTACTGTCGGTGAGGGATATTTGTTTTGTAATGTGATTCAGGCAAAACAGTAGAGGTGATGAAAGGTAATAGGTTCTTGTGGTATTTATTACCTCATTAAGAAATTGAAATGAAACACAACGTAGTGCAACGAGCTAGCGTGTGTTGCATGAAATGTTCCCGTAATTGTTGAACGAATCAAATCATTTCCCAGATTTTAAACGTATCGAATAATGTACGTACATAAGTACTTTAAAATAGTTATTTTTTATTACAATTAAAACGTCAATCGACCTAACGAACGAAGTACACATCGACACTCTGATCGAACACTTAATACGCACACACATCACACCCGATTAATGATTTAATTTTATTACTATAAAGTTTGGTACACATCCTAACCGAAGCGTAGCGCATCATGTACATACTGTGTTTTAGCTTTTAGTTTTTAATCTTGTATTATTTTACAATAAAATTTTTGAAATTAATTTCGTTTGAAATCAATTTTTTTGGGAAGATCACCTTGTCGAAACTATAAATTCATGTAAATATATTATATTGAATTATCGATTCTTATAAATAGGTGACGATTTTTTTTATCGTGTTTTTTTTTTTAGTTTTTTTCTTTTTCCGTTAAATATTTTGATACTTGCAATTGATTATACAATGGACGTTTTCAGTATCAACAGGCACTGCAGGCCGAAAACCAGCGGCTGAAGGACGAGAACGGGGCGTTGATCAGAGTCATCAGTAAGCTGTCCAAATGAATCTCGAGCTCGCTGAGCCAATGTTCGCGGACAAACTGACCTCCCTCACAAACAACGCCGCTATTAGACAGAATCAATCCGAACGTTTAGGACATTTACTTACACGCGAAATACGAAACAAGTGCGTGAAACCATAAACTTCATGTATTACGAGTGATCGACACCATTGTACATAACATCGATTCTTTTTCGTTTTCATTCGGATATGTAATAAATATATATGTACGTCTCTGATCGCATCCCCTCGGAACATTGCAAACTGTAACTTTTATCGTATATTGTGAATTTTACATATTCTTAAAATTTCGAAGGTTTTACAAACTTTATATTATTGTCGTATTGTTATTATATATACTATATTATGATCGCACATGTAATCGGTATTGGAATCAAGTTGCGGCGTATGAACACGTGTGCGCATCGATATTACTTACTGCTAATGCGTTTATTTCTTCGTTGTCTATTACTAATTATAATGATTTGTGCCTAAAACATAGTTCCTGCTATTAGCAAAGTTCCGAAGATGAATTTATTGGAACGGCCCCCTTTATACAGTGTGGATTATGCATAATGATTACGAATTTTGTTTAACGATAATTTATTTATAATTTAAAAAAAAATGCAATCTATATAAACTTTAATATTAAAATCGCGTAAGATACGAAGCAAACGTGTAAGTTCTAGTAATCGAAATGGTATACTTACTAATTTTACGATTACAATTTTATTATTTTTGTGCGAAATAATTAACCGCTTTGTATATGTATGGATTTGTATTTAAAATTGAATCTTTGCAATTATTGTTTATTTTTTTTTTGCTTGAAAAAAAAAATTACATTATAATTCACTGTTCTACATGCACTTGTTACATGTACAAATAAGTATACATACACAATACGGATGGTTTTTCGGTGTCCCATTTTGTATTTAATGCATGTAGTTGTTATTAACAATGAAAAATATCGATAGTTTTACGATTCGTTTATTTAAATTTGATGCGCTTTCTTACGTTTATTTTTTGTCAACAGTTTGAAATATTTATTGTGTACTTATTTTATATTATATGTATTACGGGCACTTTGTAATCGGTGACGTCGATAATAATAAGAATAAGGGAATGATCGATCGACAAAAACGATATGTCGGCGGCCCCAAAATCGATTTAAATTCGTAGTTCTTAATCATATGAAATAATGTAGCTTAAACGTAAACGTTCATACGAAATCGTTCTAGAAGTATCCATATTCGTGTTGATAGTTATCGATGTATTCCTAAATTGAGGTACGTAAGTGTTATAATAGGTTAGTTTTAATTGTGAACCTTTTTGGGGGGCGGTGGGGGGTTAGGTTAACATGTCCCCCTCCCCCCCGTATTCGTAGTCTTGTGTGTTGCGGGAATTTTGTCGTCATCACACTTTTGTACAGCAAACGCGAGTCCGACCAAATTAGATAATGAAATTCAAATACTTGTACAGAAAATAAAATTGATCCTTTGAAGTAAAAAATAGGAAATAATAATTAAAACGAAACATGAATTCGTTACCAGAATTTTATTTATTTATTTGCGTGTTTTAAACTGTGAACCGTCGGAATTCCTGCGATTAAATTATATCTCAAATTACTAATATAAATATATTTATACACGATGCATGCATGTAATTATTGTATTATGTAGAATCTTGTTAAGAATCAGTCGGCGAGGATTGGAATGTGATATCGGTTTTGTGCGCCACTCATGTGTTATAAAATTAGATCGTTTTTTTTTTGCTAACCGTACTATGCTATTCAACTGTTCTTTTGTTGATAATATACATACATACAGGCCGTTCTGCTGCTTTGTGCTATTTATTACCTACAGTACACAGGTACGTGCCTCGGATGTATGCGGAAAATATTCATGCATAAATTAATGAAGTAAATGAGTGATTGAAAAATAGTATATATTTCGCAGTCGTATGTCAATACAGAAGGAGAGTCGATTACGAGCAGGTAAGCTTATCAGGTATTAATGTTCTTGGCTCTTGTAAATTACCTTGTAAGGTTAACAATTTTCCGCTCGGAAAATGTGTTTTTTCCTCACAAAAGTTTGAAGGCTTAGACGATCGCGATAATCTCACCTACTCTTATTCGAGTAACTCCCTTTGTCAAAATCGGCCATTACATACGAGTGTTTATTTTACTGAGGCGAATGTACTACTACTATTGATTTTCAACTAGTCTGTAGTTAGCAGTAATATAAATATAAGATCGTAGTCCACCGACCACAAGTCTCCGCCATAAGTCAGTGGACATATTTAAACAAAAATAGTAATTAATTTGTTATCGATACGCGATTGCTGCTAGCCACACTTGGTATATCAATTGCGCTACGATTAAATGTGGATAATTTGAATGATACAATTTTCGTTTAGAGCCTTAACACACGCTCGAATTTGGTCCATGAGACCAAATCCGTTGTCAGACGCCCGGATCGGACAGTTGCTTCACGTACGCCTTCAAGTGCACACGGTTGTCATCATTTTAGTTAAACCTCTGATCAAGATAAAATATACTGATATAAGCAACTCCGTTTCTACGGAAGAGCGACTTATTAGCATATTAAAGTGTCTTTGCATCAGAAAGAGAATTTCCAGAATTGAAGTTTATTTAGTTCAAGTATATACTTATTCTCCGAATGTTTTCTTCTTCCTCGTTTGTACGCCGCTCACAAGTTTTATAATTTCTTCTTTAAATTTCCACGGTGGCATCCTTTTCAAATTTTGAGTAACAAACACTCTTTAAGTATTGTAAATATTTGCTTTCGAACATCTGTGTTGTAATAAAATTCGTGGAATGTATTACACAAACATGGAAAATCTTTGTAAAATTGAACAACTTTAATAAATACATCGCTTTCGTTAACGATTTCCTCCATTATGTCATTATGTCCACACGACCGTATTCGGTACGGAGCAAACCATATCCGATGTACAAATTAGCGGGTCGAGCCGAAATTAATTAGTAATATGATAATTTTGTTCGCAGGACTACTCTATAGATGGTAGATTTGTTTCAGAAGCGAACCAAATTCGTGGGCCGTTCGAACCAAATTCGAGTGTGTGTTCATGCTTTTAGAATTATAAATGTTTGTCCTAAAGTGACACTGAAATGCTTTAAAGCGATTCTTTCTACAAGTTTATTTGAACAATTTGGATAATAGTATCAAGAAAACTAAAACAATTGACTTTTGTCTAAGGAGGGCCGATTGCCGTCGATAACAATTAAAAAAAAAAGTTCGACAAATTCAAAATTTTGAAATTTCGCTTCGATTCGAATAATCTTCGCTGTGTTAAAGCATTTTAGTGTCAGTGCAGTAATCTATGTTATGATTGGTTTTAGTTTCATAATCTCGAAATTCGAAATTTAAAAAGTAAAATATTATGTATTTAGTTGGCTAAGCGTTGAGAACTGTATTGAAAAAAAAAAGGTGATAGGAATCTACTGAATAACGTTTTGTAATTGATAGAATTTTTTATCCTTCCCCCCTTTTTTTATGTTGCGGTTCTGATTTTTTGTTCATTAAAGTTTTTTTTTATTTATTTCCAGAGATAAGAGTTAAATAAAATACATTTCTTCATTAATTTTTATTTTTGTTTTGTTTTGTTGTCCCTTCCTACTTTTCGTTTTATTTTGTTGATCCCGCTTTTTTCTAGTCAAAGAAAATGCTTTTGACAGCTTCATATTCGGAAACAATATTTGAGAGTTATGGCTTCGTAATTTAATCAGATCGTAGAAATCTGCCCACTATTGATTTATTAGGTAGTTTTCTTTTGAGTTTTTTTTTACTATTATTGTTTGAAAATATGGTGCGAGGTCAATGAGTGATAGTTTTAATGTTAGAAACGGGCTTCCAACTAAAGTAAGTTACTTCGTAGTATCAGTTACAAATGCTGTTAGGACGTTTTTCGTTTGACTTCGGCTGTTGTCAGAACGTTTGTGCTTATACGCATCGGTACGTGACGATTTGTAATAAAGTTCGCATGGTACGCTATTACCAATTTATATGATACGTGACATTTAAGGAGCCTGTAAGTCTAATTTAATTGACTTGTATCTTATGTGGCGGCTGTCTACCCTGTGATCGAAATGAAAGCGTAACGTAAAAATTTGAACAGGTCTTATAACTTTGTTCTTCGACAGGCTCGCATTCCAGAATTCCCGCTATCACTATATTAGGGAAAAAGGAAATATTTAAAAGTTTGTCAACTACGGCCGTGTGTAGGGCGCGTAATGCAAGCGGGGTCGGTAGCTGCCTCGCCTAATATTGTCTCGATCGCATCCCTTGAATTCCAATTCGACTGTATTTTTAACTCGTAGGACGGTGCATTATAAGCCCGCATGGGTAGGTACCACTATCCTGTCTGCTCTGTCGCGAAGCAGTAAATGATTTCGGTTTGGAGGGTAGGATAGCCGTTGTATAATACAATTGAGTCTTCAATCTCATGTCTCAATTAGGTGGCGGCAACCACGTTTCCATGTATGGACTTCGACGATCAGTTAATAGCGGATCGGCTGTGAGCTCATTCGGGTGAACGAGGATTAGGTGATTAGGATGGGTATCCTAAGCAACAAGAAAATCTGGAAACGCTCAATGTGGCCGTAGATATTGATCGCCCGTGTACTCGCAATCGTGAATAGCATATAGTGTCGTTTACTTATCGAATATACGACAAAAAAAAATCCTACCTATGCTAATAGCCTTGAGATGCTACATGGCCTTACCCTAGCGTATAGGTGAGCTCTCTGGGCTCAAACCGGAGGCATTGCTAACACTGCCCATAGCAAGAGCAGTGCTTCTCAGATCTACCACCGGATCTGAAACGCGACCCAATGAAAAGATCCGAATAAAAACTCAATGGGCTGTGTCTATTGATTTTTTTACAATACTAATTGCCCCCACTACCAAAATAAGTTAAGTGATCATTGTAAACATTTTGTACTTTTGTAAATAAGGATACTTAAACGTTGTTTTAAGACGATCTCATTATACCTAACAGCATTTGGAACACGTAATAATTAGCTATAATTTATGCGGCTACAATCTGGTCTACACGGCGGTTGGTGTGATGTAATAATGTCATGATTCGGTAACGTTTTCTTTAAGTGGAGCATTATTTTTTAAGGATCACTCGAACCCCTCACTGTCCGAATAGAGTAACACTAATACTACTAATAAATACGCGTTTTTATTAAAAGTAATCATGCACCAGGAATCTTATGTTGATGATGCTAAAGCTTAAATCTACTTTTGATTTCGAATAATATCTACCGAGTTTTTGAATTCACGTCCATGAACAGTCCAACTTGGAAGTGATGTTTAGATTAAAAGTTACAAGATTAAACCTGAACTTGGATAATATTGGTATCGATAAAATATTTTTCAAATTACATAATAATACGTTGAAAGTATAATATTTCATAATTATCAATCATTACTTGTATGACATATACCTGGTCAGAGTTCCTTTAAAATATTGTCTTAAAAGTTATTTTTTCACCGGGAATTCGGTTAATGTTTCATGTTTTTTAAATTTGAAAGTTCCAGTATCATTGACTGATTCGAATAGCAATAATGCCACTTAAAGCGTTGAATGCGGGATCCTGATTTCATTGCATATCATCAAACGATTAGATCCAGCAGTCGTTGTACATTAGAAGGAAATGGGCAATTCACGCAGTGTCTTAAAAATAGTAGTTTTGTCGGTGAGGCTCAACCAGGCCCACCAGACGTATCCGACCTATCCCACTGATATCCCTTAGCGAAGTCTTCTGTCTGTATTTGTAAATATCTTGAATATCTCTTGGTAAAGACGTGTACGCAACTTGAGGAATGGTTTAACTGTATATCTAATATGCTTTATTTCATTAAGATACTTCATCAAGATTTTGAAACGTTAATAACATTAATCTCGAATTATTTCAAATATAAAGAAAGAATTTCCAGTGCAAATGAAGCTTGGACTTCATGCCTCAGATTCTTTTTAATTCGTTGAAGTTGTGAGCACGTGTCTACCTTAATCTTTTGTATATAATTAATTTCTTCAATAAATATAATATATTTATTAGTTAGGTAATGTGTGTCACACAACACAGTTGATCCATAGATTTGATACGCACCAATGCAAACATGTGTAGATCAAACAATATTTCTTTCACATTATTTTGCGGAATAAATCAAGATAATTTTCAAAGTTAGAATAAAAATTGTTACAAATGAAAATATTCAGCGTTATGGTCGAGGGTGTTATGTATCGAAAACATATGCTAATATCTCGTAATAATCGTATATAACTGAACACAAAATATAGATGGAAAACCGAATACTGGGGGTCGATGAAAGAAGAGGAAGATCGGCGGTTGTATACAGGTGATTCGACAATAACACAACACAAGTTGATCTTCGAAAAAATCATTATTATATTATAGTTGCAGTGTGCTTTATGTAACAAAATACCAGCTGATGCCCTCTCTGTGCTTTTTATGGGTTATATATCTAAGTTTCGATCTCATCAGATAGCCGTTATTGATACTTAGCTTCAGACCAATATTCGAAATTGATAAGAACCTGAATGAATTGTAAACGAAGATCTGTAATTAAAACTGTTTAATTAAATACGCATTCAAAGACTTAACGATTTAATAATAGAAAGTGGAAGTACTGTTTTGTTGAAAATTTTTAACGAAAAAAATCCACAAGGTGTTTTCATTTCATGATGTTCTAGAAAACGCTAAGAGCGACTGTCTATGGACTGTATTGTAATCATTTGAAAGCCTGTTTCTGGTATATTTATTGATAAGTAAAGTCATTGTATTTTGTAAAATATATATATGTATACTTTCCATATCTAATATATTTTGTGTACTTCTGTAGTTTTCCTACATTTCTATGATGTTAGTAGATTAAATGGTCGGAATATTTAATCGATAGTGCGTAAGGGGATATACCATATTAGCGATAAGTGACAATTGCTGAAAGCGGCACATATAAACTCTTGTATAATATGTAGCGTTAGACTTAAGTATCAGTGATTGCTGAATATAACTACTATTGTACATATACATTTAGTTAAGAAATAAGTAGACAAGCATAGTGAATTCGTAAAAAATCTATAACGCATTTCGTAAACATCTTCAATTTTTTAATACAGTTCTAGGCACGAATACGATTAAAAATTTACAGACTTCAAATCCAATATATATGAATATGAATCAATGAAGTCCTTAATTTATATAGGTAACAACTATTTATTTTGAATTTATGCTCAATAAAACTTAAAACACTTTTTAAAATTCGTTTTTAAAATTAGCTTGTATTTAAATATAATTTCTGTTAATTTCCCTCAATTCGCACACTCTTGTACCAAGATCTCTATTATCAAGATTACACACTGAGAGCCAGGGTCTGCTTAATTTTTTACTTTAGTAATGGTGGTAATTATATATGAAAAATGCTTAACCAAATTATATTTCGAACGAACGACTACGAACGGAACGACTTTGCTTATTCAGCTAAGTTTGGGAACTTTCACAAATATTTTAAAGTTCTGGCTTCTTTAATATCTCTGTATTAATAATATTTTAACATCTTTAATATTTAACCCTTTTTTTTTCTCCTACCTATGTTGATTGCCTTGAGAGGCTATTTCAGCTTCACCCTAACGTTTGTAGGTGAGCTCACGGGGCTCAAATCGGAGAGTTGCTAACACTGACCCTAGCAAGAGCCGTGCTTCGCAGAATCTACCACCGGATCGGAAACGCGACCCACTGAGAAGATCTGGCGAAAAACTCAGTGGGCTGTGTCTGTGGGTTATTTAACACTTAAGGGCGTGGAATGAATAGCTAAGATTGTTTTAGTTTGAAATATTTTGTTGATATAAAATAGCACTAGGTTTCGATTTAATAAAAAGTTCGCGAATAAAATGTAAATATAAAAGCGAACGAAGACCGTAAAGATTTTAATCAAAACCTAGCTATTAAGTAAAATTAGACTTAGAATTACGTAGGTATCTAAAACTATATTATTCTACAATATTCAGAAATTTCACACATCTGTTCTATAAGAATGTATGCGGTTTCAGTGTTTGATCCCAAAAGTGTTAATAATTAAAAACTTACAGATCCATTTAAGAACAATATTATTATTGTCAAAAATTATTTAAAGTTTCTCGTAACGATATACCGTAACTATTGAATTTATCGCCTAAATGTAAACTGTTATATCGATACATTACATTCTAGTAATATTTTAGGACAATAACATTAAAGAAACCGCCGCTAACCCATCAATACGCTATAATATAATTTATTGTTTTTATAGGATAATCATGAATCCTCTAAATAAATCTTCACATAAATGTTAGAAATATAACTTTAATATCTCTTAATATCCGTAATTTTAATCAAATCCCATAACAGTGGCTTACAGAATAATATCTAGGTAGTTAATTTTTTTTGTAATAAATTGACAATATTTCTGCACAAACTGAACTCTAAATAATTTCAAAAGACAACGATAACATGAAATTAAGAAATTCGGGAATTTTTAATTTAAATTTTGTCGTAAAACAATATTTGCATAAAGCAAATTATTCTATATTAATTATATCATATACTTGTTTGCTGGGATTGTATTTAAATATTATCATTGTGTATTTGCAAATTTATAGATAAGATTAAATGTTAGATTAGAAATGGTGTTAATACATCATTCAATGTGAGGTGATATGTCAGTCCTTCGTAAAAACTTATTGGTGTATGTCATTAAGATGTAGTGTTGAATAAGTAAGTCCTTAGGTTATTAGATTCGTAAAATTGTGGATCAAAAACCAATGTTTTGAAAACGAAAGTTTTCGAAACGTGGTTCAATTAAGTCTGACGGAATATTCCAGAAAATTAATTAAATATCTTTCGCGAAAAAAACTTTGTAAGAATTTTGGTAAAAGAATTTACTTAGTCTATCATCTCAATGTGTTTATAATAAATAGGTATTAAAGAAATGTTTAGATGATATTCAATATTATGTAAACCTTGTTTAAAAATGTTATTTTTTTGTGCTAATACATTTTATTTTTGATAATAACGCTTACGTTTGAAATTAACGATAATTTGTAATGACTACTACGCGTTGCGAACAATAGATATATTTTTCTCCGATATTCAGCTTCAATCGTGATTGAAAGTGACAAAAAACGTAATAAAAAATGTGTGCGAACTCGCGTTTTCAATAATAAGCAGTAGCTAAAGTTTTGTGTTCTTTTCGAAATGACAATAATTTTTCCTTGCAGTTTTTTACAGACGTCATCATTCCTGCTGTATATAGATAGATTCAGTATGTATCAATGTAATGTGAGCTATTAAATATCAACAGTCTGTCATTGTCTTGTAAGGCTATCGACAATAATCTTCGTAAACGGATATATTATCCAGATAAAAGAAAGAGTGTATCAAAAACGGGTACATTGATTAAAATTTTGTAACAAAGGTGAATCTGTCCTTAAAACCCACTCTGAAGGAGACGTTTATTGAAAGACAATACGGCAACTAATGTACGCATATTTTCAATAAAAATACACAACGATTCATTATTCCTAATAGGAAATTAAGTACTATCTTATGTTGATTACTTTTATCACTATATATGTTAGATAATGGATAAAAACGAAATTTATTTCCTGCCTTTCATTATTATCCAAGTTCCACTATGTTATGTTGTTTGTTGTGTTCTTGATGTTTTGTCAAATTTATATACGAAATAAATTGTATTACTTAATTGCTGAATAGTTTATCTATCCCACTGTCTATCAAAATACATTCTGGTAATAAATACAAGAATATAATTCTCTAGAATATAGGTAAGAAGAATACGGATAGATGGATTGTTAGTGAAGAGTTTGAGTAAAAGCCAAAAATACCAGCCACGTCAATGAATACGTTTAAAAGCGATTTTTGATTGCTGATATATAGATTTTATGGTGTCTTCGTATATTGTTTTCGGCTCAAACATTACCCTAATATTTCCTATAAAGTGATCACAATTTTTCGTCAAGAAACACAAACGTACGTTAATGCCCAATCGATCAACGTTATATACATATATATGTTGTTTGTTGACCGGAAATGTTGTAAAAATTTACTGTTGTGTCTAGAAATAACCCACAAAAAACGTGCGCCCCGAATAGATCACCACTAAAAAATTAAAATAAAACACCTTAATAGCAAGGAGCAAGCAATACACGAAAATCATTGATGAAGCGCTCAACTTAAAGGTCTTGAAGTCTACGAAAATTACGGCGAAAGATTCCGTTGCGAATATACAGATTAAGCATAGTAGGTAGTAAGTAGAACTAGAGGTCCCGCAGTAGTCGAAATTCGACTATAATTAATTGGAATTGTAAGTTTGTACACTATTATGATTGTATTTTATACTTCTATAATCACAAATTACGCCAAGACTATACTATACAAAATATTAACAAAGGCAAACAATATTTACTCTATTCTTAATTTGACAACAGACGCCAAGAACAATAGTTTGAGAATAAATAGTATGCATGCGTGTGTGCGTCAAATACACGGTATGTAGTGTGTGTAATATTTTCTTTATCGATTTAATGTATCTTTTATGCATTATTTAAAAAATATATTAGCATTGTGCACCTCTTCTCTATATTCTCTATAAGTGTGGAACATGTTATACTCCTCCGTCCGCGCAATTTTCGTAAAAAGGGATACAAAGTTTTTGCTTCACGTATTAATATAAGTAGAATGATAAAAACAGAGATTAAAGATAAAAAAATAAATGACAGACGTTACCTACTTTAGATCTATACTAATATATAAATCTACAGTGGTTTTTACGGATGTTCCGTTATAACTACTGAACTATGCATACGATTGACTTGAAACCTGGTATCCATGTAGAAAATACATGTACTTAATGGATAGGCTAATATTTATATGAGTGTTGGACTCCCTACACCAGTTGCGGGGGCGTTAATGATGAGAATCTTTGTGGGGGTGAGAAATAATAATGTTAATTTGAAATTCAGTCCAGCGAAGCGGACCGATACAGCTAGTTTATAAGAACGAAATCTATAGCAGATAATAAATGTTTTTGTTTACGAAATGGAAACTACATTTAAAAACTTTGAAAAATATTTATTAATGTACTTCCTGTAAGTACAAACAAATACATAACAAAAATAGCTAATATGATGTATACATACGCTTAAAGTAGATTAAACGAGTGTTTATTTAATACATAACTATTACGAGTATAATCAGTTTAGTTCGATCACAATTTATTTATTTAACATCGAAAACAACGTGTCAGTTTCAAGTAGTAAAATTTATTTTAATAATAAAAAAAAGAAGTCGAATAGGATCGTCGTAGAAATAAGGCAGTATCATTCTTATAACGAAAATATAAAAATTAATTACTATATTAAACTTAATATACTATGATAATATGTACAATAACCAAGCGCGGTTAAAAGCAAAAACGTTCAATTAGGAAAAGGCACATAATAGTACTTACATAAACACCAACCTTTCATGAAAAATATTACCTCTGAATAACAAGACTTCAATGAAATCGCTATGTTTATTCAATAATATAAATACAGAACATATAAACGAAAGCGGTTATTTTGGCATCAAAATTGTAACGATTTGTGGATATAAAATAAATTACACATTTATTGACTTAAAATTTAATTAATAATTAAATATACAAAAAGTAAATCCTATCGAAAGCTACTTTTAAATACATATTCATACAGCTATGTACCGATTTAAGACTGCATCGTCTTTCCGCATTGAAAATAAAAAATGTGATTTGTACAACAACATCATTCGATGCAAGAATCAGTTTGAAAGTCAACGAAATACAGTCTTAAATCATTTCACACGTAAATCCAACACATTTACATCTTTGGCTCAATATCTAGTAAAGGTTGGTTATCACTATGCGACGCTTCGAGTCAATTTAAACAACGAAAATCGATTTCCCATTAGTATCGAGAAGCCACACGCGTGACGTTTCGGCAAACGAGCTAACACTTAAAACAAAACACACCTGTAACCTCACCGATTTAATCGTGACCCACATCGATTCAGAAACGTCTGGAACACCTTTTAATAATCGATTATTGTTGTATCAATTGAGGATCAACGCACCGCGACTCCGTTGATGGTGATGACAGCATTGGGTCCGGTCGGCTCTGGCTCGTAGGCGGAGTCGGTGTCGCCTCGTCTGCCGTACGCGACGTTGTCAGTTATCTGTTCGCTGTAAGGCGAGTCGTACACGTTGTCAGAAACGTGGTCGTAGATGTGGCGTCCGCTGGCGTCGTGCAACGTGGCGTAGCTCATCACCGCCGCGCTCTGATCTTCCTTTCGCTCGGCGCCCTCAATGTTTTCCGTGTTCTTAACAGGCGTTGCTTTCCGTCTGTTAATGAAATAAATTTTATTCGTAATTAGATGTATCTAATAAATTTTTTTTGACTGAAGTATTATTGGTGGCCCTGAGGCCTTACCAGTTTCACCAGGACAGGAGGGCGAGCAAAGGCCCATCCAGAAGGGGTGGGATTTGATAACAGCTGCCCGAGCGCCTCCGAAGGAGATCTAAGAACTCAAGAGCAACTGCTTCGCGAATGAATCTACTACCGGATCTGAATCGCGATCCGCTGAGAAGATCCGGCCAGAAACTCAGCGAGCTGATGCATGGGTTAGGTTGCCCGTCGACCTCTTTGTCGAGTTCGACGAGTACGATTACCGGGGTTCCACAGCCTGCTCCTAGTGTTAGAGCTAAAGGTATCTAATACAAGAATTATTGGATCTGATGGATCCGTAAGGACGTGTATGTAGCTAATCTGAATACTGGGAATAAGTAAATGTTAAATAACGCTTACAGCCTCAGATAAACGATTCCTAGAAGCATCAGTAGGAACAGGACCACTCCACACCCGACCCCAACACTTAGGGGCAGAGTTCCACTGTCCACAGCCTCGTTGGTCGCTAGTTCACAGCTTGGCTCTTCACCCGACCAGCGACCGTCATCCAGACACTTTCTCAAGAAAGGTCCAACTCGCTGGTATTGGGATAGACAGTAATATTCCACGGAGCTTCCGAACAGCGTGGAGCCGTTAGAGATGACGATTTTACCGTTCTCTATATTTCCCGGTGACCTACAGTCGATTGCTGAAAATATAGGATTCACATGAAATTTTGAAACTAAATAAAAAAATTACTAAATTACGAACGCCTACTATTATTGTACCATTTTAAAATATCTAGATAACATGTCGTAGGTCAAATCTCTAACTTACGTATGCAAACAGGCACAGTTCCATTCCACTGTCCTTTCGATATGCAGGTTCTTGTCTGGTGACCTTTGAGGTTGTAACCTCTCTCGCACTGGTAATGGGCCTCTCCCCCAATGCTGAGGGTCGACGTAACAACTAACAGACCAGATCCGGCCTTGATTTGGGCCGATGGGTCCGGGCAGGTGATCTCTGTAAGGAACGAATGTAAAATTGTTAAAATTGTGGTACAAACAGGGGGATGACGGTTTTATATTTTATTTCTTATTGTTTAGACGGGTGAACGACCTTCATATATTTATAATCTTCATATCTTCATTCATAATCTGGAGTTAAGTAGTTACTGGAGCTCATAGACGTAGCAACGTGAATACCATCGTTCATATTGAGACTAGAGGTCTGTGTCTCAACTGCTTAATAATTACTCTCATTAATATATGTTTTGCAGTATTGATTTTGATTACTCGATTATATTTCTTCATCGTCAAATTCGTTCGTGATATTTTAGTTACGTATTTCATTAGTATCGGTACCTGCCTGCGGGATATGAATACCGGCACAGTCGCATCGCTTGATCAGAGTACCTACTTCGTGCGTCTTATTCTTTAGGTTGCTTTAAATCGAAAAACTTCATTGCTTGGTCAAGTAAAATGTAACATTACATTTGTAAAAATGACAAAAATATTATTCGTTTATTTGTAATCAGATTGTGTGGAGTGGTAATATTTCGGAGCACAAGTATTCGAAGCCAGAACTGAGCAACGAAGCACGCGTCATATTACGAAAATGAAAGTTTAATGACGATTAAGAACTTGGAACTTGGAACTACTAGCGCGCCATCTATTGTACACAATGGATTCTATAACAGAGATCTTCCTTAGTGCCGATAACAACTCCCATAAGTTTCATCACAATCAGATGAAGTTAGGAACGTATGAAGGATAAACAAACATAGATACATACATAAAATTGTTGATTTTCTTCAAATGAATATTCTAATGGGTACTAGTGCTTAAAGTTTCTCTCCTTCGTCATAATTCTCAACAAGCGGCTTATAAAACGGTAACCGTCTTAGTTAATGTGAAAAACTTTTCATAATTCTGTAATTCATAGTCCAACCTTGGATTTTCTGGATACAGTGGTAATATTACCTTTGCAAATGGGAGGCTCCAAACTCCAAGTCCCATTCTCTTGGCACATTCTCCTGATCACGCCCTCCAGCTCCCAGTTTTCATCACATTGGTAGAAAGCGGTGGCCCCATAGAATGTGGCGTTCGATGGAAGAGTCACTTTGCCATTCTCGATTCGTCCTGGATTGCCGCAGTCGACGTCTGAACAAATAAAAGTATATTCCATTATATTTGAATCAAAAACGGTAATTCTTTGGTATTCACGAGCCTAAGCACGTGATTTACGTCGCTACATCACACGAGGTTATTTCAAATCTTACCAATAAGTAAATTCTATTAAGACAAATTAAGCCAACAGTAAAGCCAACAGTTGATATGTTCTAATTTACAGAGTGCGACAGTTGCCATAAGATACTTGATCGCAACCTGGAGCTCAGTACTGAAAGTTACTGGTATTCTCTATGTGATTCCCTATGGTATTCTCTAGTGACGTCATTCCTCATTCCTATGCGTATAGTAAGTACCTGGTGTACCGAACATAGCTTACATTGGCAGGTTGGCGTTGTTCCACTCCACTGTCCATTATCTTCACAAGTCGATAAGCTCTCTCCGATCACTTTGTATCCTTTCTCACATCTGTACTTCACAAGCGCTCCAATACGGTAAGTGTTTCCGACGTCTCTGTTGTCAGACGTCCTGATCAGCGTGTGCCCATGGCTCCTATCGTTACCGGTCACGGATACTATGCTCTTCTCGGCCACTATCGGATCGGAACATCGGATTTCTGGAAGTAGAAACACGTTGGTAGGGTATGGCTAAGAAAGATCTTCTAACGAGCGAGTGTTAGTGCTGTTAGTGTATGCTGTTTGGGCCTATGCAAACTTAATAAGTGAATTTCGTTAAAGCAATTCAGTTTTTACGGGATTTTTTCAATTTTATGCTACCTACCCCTACGTTCCTAAGATACAGAGGGGAAATTAAAATTTTCTTAACTCTTATTTGCGTATTTTAGTCAAATTTAATTGCAATACAGTTCTAAGTAAACTACACGACCGTCATTTATTGGCGGTAGGGCGTACTATAGGTCCGTCCGGGTAGGATCCACAACCCTGTCTAGCTCTGCTGAGAAACAGTCGTGCGTTCTGGTTTGAAGAGACAAACGTTACGTAGCAATTTCGATATTTAGATCCTACGTGTTGGTGTGTGCGGCGGCTTTTACTTTGTAACAGGCAGCAAATATGTGAATAGAATAGCTTCGTCGTTCAAAACCGACCTTCACATCTGGGCGAAGAATCGCTCCATTGAAATTCTTCGGTGCAGGTCCTCCTTACTGGACCAACAAGTCTGTAGTTGGTCGTGCATGAGTACTGAATGACGCTTCCCAGGTGGGTCGTTCCGTTTAACAGTTCCATTGTGCCGTACGGCAATGTTGGCAATTTCCCGCAATCGATATCTGTAATCGTTTTAACCGATAATTAAAGTTCAAATAAATAGTAATAAGCCTTTTATTTCCTACTAAATACCTTAACAGTTATTAACAAGTATGATCACTTAACTAATTCAAATTTTTTTTTTGGCTTTGATGTGTGCACGAGCTCACAGCCCATCTAGCGTTAAGTGGTTACTAGAGTCCATAGACATCTACAACGTAAATGTATCACCCACCTTGAGATATAAGTCCTAAGGTCTCAATATAGTTACAACGGCTGCCACCCTTCAAACCGAAACGCTTTACTGCTTCACGGCAGAAATAGGCGTGATGGTGGTACCTACCCGTGCGGACTCACAAAAGGTCCTGCCACCAGTATAATATATAATACACTTTGGTAGTTTTATGTAGAAACCTTGTATTGGGTAAAGGCCTCCTCCAAAGATGCCCAATTGTCTCTGTCCTGTGCAATCTTTTTCCAGCTTGGACCAACTGTGTTTATAATCTCATATTTCCAACGAGTCAATGGTCTACCTCTGTTCCTTTTACCTAGTGGGCCTTTCCAAAATGTTATTTCTATGGTCCACCTTTCATCCTTAAGCCTCGCGATGTGACCAGCCCATTTCCACTTGAGTTTTTGTGCATAATTTAACGTTAAAAGCTCAAATACATTATCTCATTTTATTTGTTTATTCATGTATCCTGTTAACTGTGCTGTGAACTGATTGCAAACAATTGCTAGTATCGAATGAGAATATCTCTTACATTCACATGTCGGCGAATCCCCTGACCATTCTCCGTCTTGCTGGCAAACGAGATTGGGTTCCCCTATCAGCTTATGTCCCGCTTCGCAGTGGAAGTTTATTGTTGAGTGCACGTAGTAATCGAAAGCCTCCATGTAACCGCCGGAAGGTACTTCTGGCTCTGGACACGATGTCACTGGAAGTAAAAATACAAATCGTTTCAAACCTATTTAAACTACTAAATTACGTCTTCAACAAAATGCCCTGCCATAAAGTACGTCATGATTAGGGAGCAATTGCAGTGAGCGATTTGAAGCAACTGTTGTATGAGCTGTTGTGTAATGAGCTTCATCAGATCGTCTGTTAATTAGTTTATGTACATCTAATAGTAATTATATCACACTCTAGATCAGCCTTTCTCAAAGTGGGCGATAACGCCCCCTTGTGGGCGCTGCAAGCCTAAAGGGGGGCCGTAAGAGACCCAGAAAAAAAATGGGGGTGTTGTGTAGAGGCTTGGCAGACAATTTGTAATTTCATTTAGCAGGACTCTTAGACACCGACTGAGCTCTCGCTATAGTGGTTTTTAAGTAGCTTAAAAAATGGGGGGCGCTAAATAATAATTTATTCTCAAAGTGGGTAGTAGACAAAATAAGTTTGGGAGCCCCTGCTCTAGATCTAAATGGTTTCAAAGAATGCCATTTTTTCCTTTAATCTTTCTTGTTATTTTACGAGTGAGATCGAATCTGGTCAAAGTGACTAATGGACTCTCTTTGGATAAGGTAGTATTTAATAGTAAATTACGGTAAGTGATACTTCGATTGAGAGGTGAGTAACTATAGTAGATCTGGTCATTCAAGACTTCTGTTATCATGGCCCAATACATGTTTATCGTGTAAGACCTTCTGAAAGTGGAGTTGGTCGGAGGTGTTGTTGGTTAATATGCTGGCCGAAATTTTTTCATTTTCAAAAATTACCCTCGAAAGTAAATCTGACTACAATAAATGATACATACATTCACAAGATGGGATGTCATACGACCACTTGCCGTCCCTATTGCAAACCAGCTCTTCAGCTCCGTTCAACCAGTAGTCGGGCTCGCATGTGAACTGGGCAATGGAGCCATATGTGGTGGTTCCGTTGATGAGTACAAAAGAGCCCTTGTGAATTGTCGGGGTTCCACAGTTGACGTATTTACAGGACGGAGGTACTCCTGACCAAGCACCACCGAGGGTGCAAGTGACGCTCTAAAATATCAACGAAAAAAAATTAATTTCCAGAAACACTACAAACAATTCAGAGCCTGTTAGAAAATGTCTCAATTATTTCATAAAGCATAAAGCGATTCATCAATTTTGCCTATTTCTGTCGCTAAGCGGCTATGCGTTCCGGTTTGATGGATTGTATATATATGTTGTATTGACAGCCATATAATGCTATGACCATGAATTCGTACGTCTATCTAAGCAATAAATATATAAATACACATAAGGTATTTGTTTGGAACATTGAAACATTTAATACATACCGTTGACCCGGAAAGAATATGGCCATTTTCACACGTATACGAAGCCAAAGAACCCGCTTTGTGTCCATTGACAGTCACTGAGGCGTTGGAGACGGCGGGAGGATCGGGACACCAGTCGAACAGGCATCTCGGAGCCTCTCCATCCCAAATACCTTCATCACCGCAGGTTCTTTCAGGGTTTCCGACTAAGGTGAAGTTTTCGCGGCAGGAGTAAAGAGCTCTAGCCCCGTGGGTTGTTCTGTTGTCAATAAGAGCCACATCTCCGTCTTCGATCGGCGTTAGACCCCCACAATTTACATCTGTGTATGAGAGTAAAGTTATGAGCTTCATAAAAATGTTAACCTAACATTATAGTTCTGAGCAAGATGTTATTAGCTTTTTTTTCATAGCTTAGATGAGTAGACGAGCTCACAGCCCACCTGGTTCTAAGTGGTTACTGGAGCCCATAGACATCTATAACGTAAATGCGTCACCCATTTTGAGATATACGTTCTAAGGTCTTAAGTATCGTTACAACGGCTGCCCTGCCCTTCAAACCGAAGCGCATTACTGCTTCACGGCAGAAATAGGCAGGGTGGTGGTACTTACCCGCGCGGACTCACAAGAGGTCCTACCACCGGTAATTCTTCTGAATTCTTCTACATAAGCACTTACATTTACAGCTGGGAGGTGCTCCAGACCAGAACCCGTCTTTCTTGCAGTGCCTGCTTTTGTCGCCGAGCAACATATGACCTTCGGGGCACTTGTAGACAATTCTTGATCCAACATCATAATCGTTTCCGAGTATGGTAGTATTCAGTAGTTTATCCGGACTGCCGCACGTGGGAGGCACTGAGGAACAACAATGGATTTGGTAAGGATTCGTGAAAATAATATCGACGTATTGAAATTAAAGTATCGCTGTTGCTGTCATGTAAACATTCGCTTAGAACCGGAAGATTCACATTTAATAGCAGCTTAATTTTAATTTAATTATTCTTCAATAACGTTCGTAATGTTAAAGCACTAAAGTTAAACTATTATGTATGTAAACTAGCATGTATGAAAACTAAAAAAATGTTTTTTAGCAAATCGAGAAGGTTTGATTTGATCCTAGTTTATTTTATTGTACGTTATTTGCGGATTATTCTATCTTTTGTTGCACCCGCAGTTTATCTCGCAACAAAATGAAATTTTATAGCAAAACTTATGACGATTCAGAAAGCTAAGTAAGATAGGCGATATTGTGAATGTATGAATGTAATTACGTAGCGTAGACAATATATACGCACATGTCTGTTTTCGTGGGTACGACTCATTTCAAATATATACGAGTATTATGTTGAAAAATATATTAGGGTCTTGCATCTCCGTCAATTTACACGTCTATAACAAAATAAATAATCTGCTACTCTGGACGCCACCAATGCCAGAAGTATAGCCAAGCCTTTCTACTATCTACCGCCAAATTATATATATATATGTATATTTTTTGCTTAGATGGATGGACGAGCTCACAGCCCATCTGATGTTAAGTGGTTACTGGAGCCCATAGACATCTACAACGTAAATGCGCCACCCACCTCGAGATATAAGTTCTAAGGTCTCAGTATAGTTACGACGATTACCCCACCCTTCGAACCGAAACGCATTACTGCTTCACGGCGGAAATAGGCGGGGTGGTGGTACCTACCCGTGCGGACTCCCAAGAGGTCCTACCACCAGTGATTACGCAAATCATAATTTTGCGGGTTTGATTTTTATTACACGATGTTATTCCTTCACCGTGGAAGTCAATCGTGAACATTTGCTGAGTACGTATTTCATTAGAAAAATTGGTACCCGCCTGCGGGATTCGAACACCGGTGCATCGCTTCATACGAATGCACCGGACGTCTTATCCTTTAGGCCACGACGACTACAAACTGAACTCCCGTTCGAATTAAACTAATAACTGTCATAAAAACTTAACTGTCATAAAATCTTGTAATTGAACCTATTTATTGCACAAGACGGAAGAGCTGATAGGCATCTTATTTTGTTACGAAGTTATGCACCGACTATTCTAATATATTCAAGTATTTGACAGTAAAGAAATGCTTAAAAGAAGCGCTTATTACGTAGAAGGCTATATACAGGCATTGTGATCATAAAAATCTATTGAACGCAATCTCTTACAAATAATAATAGCGAAACGAAAGAAAAAAGTCCGCCTGATATTTTAAAATAATGTAAAATTTAAAATGAGAATTTATCCGACTTCTAAGGTTTTCAATATAGAGCATATTTTTCGGTTTTGGACTCTGACTGTCACACCGTAAGAGTTAACAAAGAGACAAACATAACATAATATAACAGAATATAAGGCACCTCATTTCATATTAAAGAAGGTTATTTAACTTTAAAATATAAAATTTTCCTGAGGACATAATATATCTCCAATATGTTTCGCTCACAACAGAGATTTTATCTTTCTTAAACAACCATAACATTGTCAGCGTGCGTTAGCGGATTTGTGATAGGTTGTACATATTAAAAACCATTAACAATGACATGCGCCGGTGCGAATTGCACGCACATGCGAACTCATATACCATTACGTACAAATGGTGTTCAGAAATAACTGAAAACGCATCGGTGCGTGACCGGTTTCCGAATTGCTACCGCATTTTCAAACCTCGTCCTTTTTGAATTCGTGCTTCGGGAATTCAAATGAGTAAGCAAATGTTAACATTGATTCGTATTCTAGTAACTCTGTGTTATTCATTATTAAGAATAGCTTATCCGGCTTAATGTATATCGACGCTTGAAAGGCAAACATGACTAAGCGATAATAACTGCTTTGTACATAAATGATAGGCAATAACCATATTCGATGCGCAAAAAAAAATATATTTCTAGGTCTATTAAAATCATTTGATTCCTACAGCTACTAGCTAGATTCTACTACAGCTAGATTCGATAACATAAATTTTTGTTTTCAGGTATTTCAACTTTAAATTAGTCTACTGTAAAGTTCACGCATTGTCGCTTAGTCGACGTTTGCCCTTCAAGCGTCGATATACATTTGTTTTCATACATCAAAAGGTAATCTAATTTTTGTGCAAGAAATTTATAGGCGGATATGACTTTTCTTTATTTGGCACAGTAAGCAACTTAAGAAAGAAAAAAACTGTTTCCAAACCATGATCTCATTTTTAAATTTACAGTCTTCTGCAATCATTTCAAAAAGTTGTTTCGTTTCTAAAGTTGAATTATTACCGCCAAGTCGCAAATTATTTTGAAACATTGTAAACACTATCACGACGGTCGCATTTAGAAACATAGTAAACAGTGCAATGTGCCTGAGAGACCGAGCCGGTAAAACCGAATCGTAACTTCGCATAGCTTTGTGGAGGTTATAAACTACACCACACTGAATGTTGTAGTTGAGACATTAAAGAAGACGTTAGAAACATTGTTGGTGTCCCTATAGACATATCCCACTGAACGTACGTACATGCTCTACGTCAGTGATTCTCAACCACTGTTACGGGGCACTTTTGTGTGCCGCCAAATTTCAAAAATGTGCCGCCAAATTTTGCGAATATATAATAATGTTAATATTATTAAATTATATGATTTTAAAAGAAAAATATTTTAAACATGAATATAAATTTAAATCCACAAAAAAAAAAATAGTATATTTTAGTTTATTTCGTATATTAACATTTTTTGATAAACTATTTATGCAGTGTGTTGTAGTAAGTAAATAAATTTTATCTTTTTTTTTTGTGTGCCGCCAAATTTTGAAATCTTTAAATATGTGCCGCAACAAAAAATAAGTTGAGAATCACTGCTCTACGTACTCACTGTATATTTATAAATATTTAAACCCTTACTACATTTCGTAAAGAAAATAAATGTAGCTGTGTAAATAAGTCTTATGTATTATTTAATACGTTAGGTATTTGAAAATGTTATCGTGGGTGGATGAGCTCATAGCCCACCTGGTGTTAAGTGGTTACTGGAGCCCATAGACATCTACAATGTAAATGCGCCACCCACCTTGAGATATAGGTTCTAAGGTCTCAGTATAGTTACAACGGCTGCCCCACCCTTCAAACCGAAACGCATTACTGCTTCACGGCAGAAATAGGCAGGGTGGTGGTACCGATCCACGCGGACTCAAAAATACAATAATACAAACACTTAAAGCTATTTGGATCGGCAATTTCAAGTGCTTTTAATAATGAGTAAAGCTTTTGGATCACACAGGTAAAGGTCGAATTTTATCTTAGGTTCTTTCATCATGATCACTAAAGCTTAAAAGATTAAAAAGTTTTGTGTTCGTTAATATTTTTTTTTCAAAGTTACGACATAGTGTAGGTTTTTTTTTTTTGGTTTTCATTGTCTTTGTAGGTAGACGAGTGATACAGCCCGCCGCTCTTGGACATCAGCAATGCTATCGGGCTTACTAAGTCACTGCCTACTGCAAGTAATGCTTGTGATATTTTTGTATATCCAACAACTTACCGCACTATATTTAGTATCAACAATTCGCTTGTGTTTCGCTTTGAATTTCGCTAGGATCGTTCGCCAAGCAGAATAAAGTGATATGTACCTATGGATGGGACACTCACGGTACTGGCAGATCCAGTGCAAGTAATCGAGGTTGCAGCCAACGTCGTTCCACAACCAGCCTCTCCCGCCGTCCAGGACAACGCAGTTCTGTTCCCCGTTGTAATTATTAGGCTGGTCTTTACCCCAGCTCGGCTTCGAAACTAATTCGCCTGGAACAAAAATCACAGTTACATTAATGTATTTCTATATATTAATAGGTGAAGGAAAAACTTTGTATCCCTTTTTACGAAAATTGCGCGGACGGAGGAGTATGAAATTGTCCACATTTATAGAGAGTATAGAGAAGAAGTGCACAATGCTAATATTTTTTTTAAATAATGCATAAAAGATACATTAAATCCATAAAGAAAACATTACACACACCACATACTATATATTTGACGCATACGCGCATGCATACTATTTATTGTCAAACTTTTGTTCTTGACGTCTGTGGTCAAATTGAGAATAGATTACATATGGTTTGTCTTTATTAATATTATTTTATAGTGTAGCCTTGGCTGAATTTGTGATTATTATAGTATGTGTACAAACTTACAATTCCAATTAATTATAGTCGCATTTCGACTACTGTGGGACCTCTAGTATACTTATACCTAGTCAGGTCATAAATTCTGTCACATGTTTAATGTAAAATAATTGAAACAACTTTATTCATTATGTAACCATAAATATACCAAAATGAACTTAACAAAACATAGATTCTTATGGCACTAAAGTTTATTCAAAATGACCTCCGTGATTTTGAATACAGGCCTTCAATCTGCGCGGCCAGTCGTCTATCGCAGCACGAACGAGGTCCATGTCAATATCGGCGGCTGCCTTAATCAAGGATGTCTTGAGTGACTCCAAATTGGGATGAGGATTTGAGCACGCCTTTTCCTCCAAGTGTTGCCATATCTTGTAATCTAACGGATTCAAATCTGGACTGGAGGAGGGCCAGTCTTCGTGCCGGATGAAGTCGATTTCACGCGCCGCCAGCCAGTCTTGTGTGCTCTTTGCTCTATGAGCTGGCGCCGAATCTTGTCGGAATACCCAGTGCCTGTTATTGAACATGGTATGAGAAACAGGTTCCACAAGGTTCGTCAGGACTGTATTTTGATACACAACTGCATTCGTTTTTACACCTTTCTCACAAAAATGTACCTCTGTTAAGCCCCAATAAGAAACTCCCAACCATACCATGAGCGAGGATGGAAAATGACCTCGTTGGACACGCGGAATACGGTTGCTCGCTTCTTCACTACTGTGTGCGTACACCTTATCATTTTGTTTGTTGTAGCTCTCTTCTACGGTAAAAATTTTTTCATCCGAAAAAAGAATTTCCCGATATTTTTTTCCCGCGTACCGCTTCAACAAAGCGCGGCATCTCTTCAGTCTCAGGTCCATTAGACGAGCATTCAAACGATGTCCTGTTTTTCTTCGATATGCCCGAAGCCCTAAGTCTTCATTTAACACCCTTTTCACCGTGGTTCTGCTTAACCCCATCTGAAGGGCCAACAGTTTCTGCTTACGTTTGGGATTTCTTTGAATTCGCGCCTTCACAGCTTTTATCACTGCTGGAGTCCTAACAGACCGAGGGCGACCACTTCTTGACCTGTCATCTACACTAGAGTCTTCATTGTATCGTTTGATGGTACGACAAACGAATCTTTGGTTATATTAAAAATTTTCAGTATGTTAAAAATTTGAAATGGCGCGTAACCGCAACGATGCAACGCAATAACTGCAACACGGTCTTCTTTAAGCGTCCACTCCATATTTAAAAATGAGTAAAATTCTAAAAGTTATACATTTTTATTTTCATGAACAATTTGAAATTCGAATTTAATAAACTTTTTTGTGGCCAGCATTCTAAAAGAAAAGTTTTTACTGTGTGACAATAGTTATGACCTGACTAGGTATATAGATAATAGAAACATGACAGTAACTGGCCGTAACGCTTTACATGCAAAGAGTATTAATAAGATGCTATAAAAATAAATCGAACAATAACGAAAAATCGGATGTTATTTTTAAGCTATTCGGCTAAAGATGATGCAAATATATATTATATGTATTAAATTATAATTAATGGAGATTTAGCGTGAAAAGTTTGGTAAGGTAAAATTTTTAGGCGGAACTAGTAGAAATCTAAGCTGAAACCTGGCAATAAATGTAATTTGATAAAAAAGAAAACCTCCTTCGTTTATTGAAACTAAAGATTTTTTTTTTCGATTTATCACAGACCTAGGGATTAACTAGGCAATTTGAATTTCCTGAACAGATTACCAGCAACCCGGAGTCTAATAGCAAATGGAAATCGAACAGATCCTATTGCATTTGAAATCAGATGCCTCAATTTTCTCGTGTTCCTAAGCTGGCGAATACTTTGCAATGATATTTGAACTTTAAAAGGCTTAATCTAATCTGTAAAAGACGGTACATATGAAAAATTAATGTACACTAGAGATACATTTACCGATGACAATTCAATATTTAAAATATATTTGAAAAAACAATTTGAAAAAATTAAAATTCAACTAAAAAATGAAAAATAAATAATAGTTTAAAAAAAACTAACAAAATACGCTTATAAAACCTTATAGAAAATTCAACTAAAAATATCCTTCACCGTGGAAGTCAATTGTGAACATTTGTTGAGTACGTATTTCATTAGAAAAATTGGTACCCGCCTGAGATTCGCTCAACACGAATACACCGGACGTATTATCCTTTAGGCCACGACGATAAAATATAAAATATAATATACAAAAATGTTTATAACTACTGATACCATGCACCGCAAGCTTTTTTTTTACAATAAAATCATTTTTTCTTACACTATTTTTAATTTAAATTTATTTTCTATTATTAAGTTGGATTTTCTATAAAAGCGTATTTTGTTAGTTTTTTTTAAACTGTTATTTATTTTTTATTGGACAAGACAATACAAAGACGAACAATGAAACTGGTATTTATCAAGAAACAGAGCTGTAGCTCTACTCCGATTACGCTCTGAATGCAGCGTGAAACAATTTAGACTGAATAGCGAACAGAATACAAAATGCTTTCACGAATATACATATAATGTTCGTACTTTATTTACTTATTTCGTACGTATTCAGAATGAAGACATGGTCTCAAATAATTTCCATACAGATATTTCTTTGTTGTCATATTTTGCGGAGTATTTTAGGATAAAAAAAAAAGGTTTTTATTTACGGAATCGTTATAACTAAATACCTAGAAATAACACAATATATAATGTGAATAAGAAACAGTTTTAAGAACTAATTTTAAATAGAAGAAACTTATATAGAATTAGTCTTTAACTTCAAGAAAAAAATAGGTTCCCTAGGTAAATATGACAGTAGTCTGATCCAATGTATAATGTGGAATTTTTAGTGGTTATAATATATAAAGTTGGAATTAATTCTTTATCGTGTAAAATAACGTGTATTTTTCGGAACTAGACCAAGATGTTTCAGTTTCCCAAACATAAGATCCGAAATTAACGTAACATTAATTTAAAAATCCACTTTCGGTTTCCATTAGGTTATCAAATAAAATATCATTGAACATAATATCATTAGAGGTTTTTAATGCGGACTGAACCAGAATTAGCTGACTCTTTTTTCCAGAACTCGATAGAAGCTTCTTTGTATTTATGATTAGTTTTAAATAACGCAAAACAAACAGTAATGCGTTTCGGTTTGAAGAGTGAGGCAGCCGTTGTATGGTGTATGGGTATGTGGCGGCATTTACGTTGTAGATGTGTATGGGCTCCAGTAACCGCGTAACATCAGGTGGGCCGTGAGCTCGTCCAACCATCCAAGTTATAAAAAAATAAAAAAATTTATCCAAGAACAAAATTGGCTCATCGGATTCACGTTCCACAGAGAGCGGTAGCATTGATGTTATTGCGTATAAAATAAAAAATTAACATCGGCGCTTATTTACTCGTCATTACGGATCTTCCCGATCCATTAACGGTGCTTTTAGGTACCACAAGCACCGGTCATCGTCCTTGCTTAACCAGTCGCTTGCGACGAAGGGCTCGACGAGCGAATTGACCTATAGACACAGTCCACTAAGTTTCTCGCCGGATCTTCTCAGTGTGTCGCGTTTCCGATTCGGTGGTAGATTCTGTGAAGCACTGCTCTTGCAAGTGTTAGCAACACTTCCAGTTTGAGCCCTGTGAGCTCACCTACACGTCAAGAAGCTGAAATAGCCTCTCAAGGCTATCAGCATATGTAGAAAAAAAGGCGCTTATTTCTCCGAGTCCAGGCTGGTGAGTATGTGTCTACGTTTAAAAGAAAACTCACCATCCACCCATTGCCAGGTTCGAGATGTGAGGCCCGGCTCCTTTTGGGCTCCGATCCAGACCAACTGTGTTTTTAACTGTGCTTTACGACGCTCCAGTTCTTGAGTGAGGAAACTCGACGTGGCACCCTGAAACAATTGTCAGTTTGAATGAATGCTAACCCTATACGAGTATATTACAACTAATTTTGGTAACATCGAATATAAATTTAAATCACATTTTTATTATAACTTATATAGCCATGATAAACAACAACATACATATTATTATTCTAGATCGATGTGCTCTTAGCTTAGCTCTTTGAAGTCGTCATGGCCTAACGGATAAGACGTCCGGTGCATTCGTGTTGGGCGATGCACCGGTGTTCGAATCTCAGCCGGGTACCAATTTTTCTAATGAAATACGTACTCAATAAATGTTCACGATTGATTTCCACGGTGAAGGAATAACATCGTGTAATAAAAATGAAACCCGCAAAATTATAATTTGCGTAATTACTGGTGGTAGGACCTCTTGTGAGTCCGCGCGGGTGGGTACCACCACCCTGCCATTTCTGCCGTGAAGCAGTAATGCGTTTCGGTTTGAGGGTGGGGCAGCCGTTGTAACTATACTTGAGACCTTAGAACTTATATCTCAAGGTGGGTGGCGCATTTACGTTGTGGATGTCTATGGGCTCCAGTAACCACTTTACACTAGGTGGGCTGAGAGCTCGTCTAACCAGTTAAGCAATAAAAAAAAAAAAGTCAATTAGAGCCGACCGACCCCACAACATAGAAACACCTGTAGCGTGTAACACTTAACAAACCTTTAATATAATAAACCAAACACCACCTCCAGACGCAAGATTTAAGTCTCAATTGTATAGTATATACCAACTGTCTCAATTTTCAAAACCGGAAAGAAAGACTGCTCTGCGATAGAAATTATTCTAAATGATTTTAAAATACAAGCACTTATAGTATTCACTTAAATTTTCGCCAGTCAAAGCTATAATTAAAATGATCGCTTAATATTTGATTTCGCCATTATTATTGTGATTACATAATTTTATAAGTTGTTTAAAATACTTAAGTTTGCGTGGTTACAGACGACTAACAAGTACTTCTTAGTATTTAGGTATTTGGAATGTTGCAGTACCTGTCCTCCGTTCGCTCAGAATAGACCAATTTTGCTGTCAACTTCAACAAAGCGAACCAAGCCACATGTGACCCAATTTAATTTCATATCCGAACCGAAATTGACACCATTTAGGTGCAACTCATTCAGTAAAAATAATTGTGTGATTTTATAGTTTTCTGTATTTAAACTTACTAGAGCTTTTTTGGGTTTATACGCTTGCACGACGCTTGCTCGCTTCTATCCTAGTTTATAAATGGACCGTTTATTTTGAAAGTGGTGTAAGTCCATTTTTGAGAAAAATGAGCTATCACGTAATTCATACTTAATTTAATGTAATTTTTTTATATATAGCTAGTCCGTGTTTAATTTCTCAAAAAAATCCCATGTTTTGTACAACTTAAAATCGGTCGGTAAATGAAATTGCATAATCATCGATTATGAAAGTGGTGTAAGTCCAATTGATAGAGATAGGTGGCATAGCCAGACCTCATATGATTTGCCTGTGTTTTTAAATCAACAAATATAGTAACCTTTAATTTTCTCGAAACAAAAGAAAATGAACTTACACCACTTTCAAAATAAACGGTCCAAATATGAGTTAATTTTATTAGGATAGCTTTTCGATAGCTTTTTTGCGCGTATATCCACAGGAAACTTTAAACTCAGATTTTTACAGATATTTTTTTTAAATATTGATTCCTAAAGAATCTTTAGCATTCACACAATTCAGGTTTGGTCAGCATAAAATTATATCTCAATATCTGTGTGCTTAAAAAATTACAGAATCTTTATTTAATTGAAATTGTTTTAAAATTGTTTCATCTCTGACAACCAAACAATCAGTAATGTAAACTCTGTCTATCCTAATATGCAACAAAGGAGATAGCAAAATATATATGTAACGACACATAGCCGGTTATATATATAAAATGTAATCGAGCAAGATCGAGGGACTGCTAATTAATAGTCTTTGCAGCAGGCACTTGGAACAAAATTTTTAATGAATAGTCTAATAGCTATTAGGTTAGATTCTTAAGTTACTACCATAGATTTTAAGTAATACTTACTAACAAAATGTTATGGTTTATGCACTGAATTAAAATAAATAAATATGTCAATAGCCACAGTTGACGTCATAATATTTCAATACAATGCCGAGGCTTCGATTGTATCCATATTATAAACCCCTTCTATTAGTTGCAATTAAGTTGAATATAATTTAATTTTGGTATTCTCACGGCGTACTTATCTTTTAATTAATCATTGTTTCATTCATCCCATTTCCTTGCATCGCTTTCAGGAATGAAAGCATCGACCTCATTCTTCACATGCAGATGCGTGCGTTGAGGTTGGATGAGAGGAATAGCTTTTCAACAATTTCTTACTCGGCTCTATTACTAAATATTAACAATTACGGTGGAATACCTCGGTATGATTTTAATGTTTTAAATACCATTTTAGTTTAGACCATATTTTACTTAGTATGTATTCAAAATGTATGTGTAAAGATCGTCCACGTAAATCAATATTGTCTATAATCTATAGCCGAGACAATTTGAATTTGCTTCTCGGTGATATATTTTCTAAAAGGTGTAATTTAATAGAAAAGTTCTTCTTTTCTACCTATTTATTGGTAATTCACGTCTAAGTCGTTTCTCGGGATTATGGCTAATAAAGTGAGTATTTGGAATTCTGTAAACTAAGTGAGTAGGTATACTAAAGTTACAATTACCTGAAAGCCGTGTATTAAATCGCCACCATGTGATTGACATTGCTTCCTGGCTTCGTCGAACGAGCCCCCCCTGGCAACGTTGAACTCATAACAGTTTCTGGAGAACGCAGCCAATTCAATATCAGCGGGGGCGCCGGCCGGAGCGCATCGATCGTTCGAAAATTCTAGATTAAAAAAATTATCTTTAAAGTCTTTAAGGTTGTTTTACACGTTAGTACTTTTATTGATTGTTTTGAATTGTGAATTCCAGGAAGTTACTTTGCTAACTAGCTTCGCATATCAATAAACATTTAGGTATATAATTATATATATCGAAATGTAAACGAATTTCCGTTGAGACATTGGATCAAAATCTCAAATGTAGTCTATTACCGAAACGAATTTTCTATATGTAACCGCAAAAACATTTAATTTATAAGGTTAATTTTTCGTGACTACTTTTGAACAAATAAGCAATATTGATGTCTTCAAAACAAGGCTTACCTTCTGTTGTAAAAACTTCAACTTCGCAAAGCGATAAGGAGCCCTCGACACCAACCAGTTGCAGAAACACGTGCTGCCCGATCAGAGGTCGAGCGCACGTGAACGTTTTCGTAACGCCTTCGTCTAAAACAATCGGATACGACGATTTTTATTGTATACACATAAACAGATTTTATTCATTAGGTTAGGGGACATAAAAGAAAAAGAGCAATTATAAAGTCGTCGTGGCCTAAAGGATAAGAGGTCCGGTGCATTCGTATGTAGCGATGCACCGGTGTTCGAATTCCGCAGGCGGGTACCAATTTTTCTAATGAAATACGTACTTATAAAATGTACACAATAGACTTCCACGATGAAGGAATAACATCATTTAATAAAAATCAAACCCGCAAAATTATTATTTGCGTAATTACTGGTGGTTTTTTTTTTTGGTCTGGAGGAAATTGCCGGACTTCCGCCCTTCTCTGGGGATACTGGGCAGGGTATGTCAGAGTCGAACTGACTAAAACCTCCTGCCGCTCAACAACCAACGTCCAAACCTCGCATGAGACATAACTCATGACAAGGGAAAGGGGGGGGAAAGTGAAGCGTTTAGTGCGGAGCACATCTCTCCCATCACCCTCCCCCTCCGGACGCCGGACTGGCGGTTGTCAGCGCCACGACCACCAGTCCTCTCGGTCGGCAGACTGTCCGAAGCCCGCCTAGATGGCGCCGGTTAGAGTGGGTAATTACTGGTGGTAGGACCTTTTGTGAGTTCGCACGGGTAGCTATCATCACCCTGCCAATTTCTGCCGTGAAGCAGTAATGCGTTTCAGTTTGAAGGGTGGGGCAGCCATTGTAACTATACTGAGACCTTAGGATTCATATCTCAAGATAGGGGGCGACATTTACGTTGTAGATATCTATGGGCTCCAGTAACCATTTAACACTAGGTAAAAAAAGAAGTCATATCTCGCTGTTTGTTGGTCAGAAAATGCGTATTAGCATTAAATAGGCATACGCGTTTCCTAAATTATGCTTTAAATTATGAATATACGAGATTCGCCTGTTTAACGAATAAGGCGGCGACGGCGTTCATATAGACGTAACTAGCTGACCCGGCAAACGTTGTTTTGCCATATATGCGCCATCTATTGATTACTTACTCAACTCAGTCGAAAGGTATCGACATCTGTTAGAATCATTTGGAGTTAACAGATAATTGTGACTGTCAAATAATAACAGACAAATAATTAGCAATAAATTAAAATTGCGACTATAATTTGAGATTTAAACTATCCTATCTCTCAAGTTGGATCGAACTGCACATGGTGTGCGAATTTTATTATAATCGGTTAAGTGGTTTAGGAGTCCATTGAGGACAAACATTGTGACACGAGATTTATAAATATTAAGATGATCGAAAACTAAATCAATGTTTTCACGTGGGATCTATTGTAATTTATCTTTCGCTCTATTTTGTACGTAGTGCGTAATTAGCCTCTCTTGAAGTAACAATGAAAGTTTATTTTTACATAACACTTTACTCCGTCTTTTGTCCATTCATCAGCAGTCGACAATGGTTCAATGACAATGAAAAAAACCGGAGATTGAATCGTTAAAATGTATCACAATTATAAAATCATAGTATTAATCTATATATGTATATAAAAATGAATTGCTGTTCGTTAGTCTCGTTAAAACTCGAGAACAGCTGGACGGACGGATTTGGCTAATTTTGATCTTGAATTTTATTTGTGGAATTACAGAAGGTTTAAAAGGTAAATAAATAAGAAAATGCTCGGAATTAAATAAAAATAACAATTTTGTTTTTCCTTTGATATGTCCTCCGTCGGATGGATTCCTTTTGTTTGTTTTAAGTTTATTTTATACAATAGTTTAGGTATTTTATTTATCGATTGAGGCACTACGAAGTCTGCCGGGTCAGCTAGTACTTTATATAAATATCTCGTCTCTGTGAAGGGTTAATTTTCTTTTTCATGGAATTAACGTGCGATTGTCATTGGGCCTTTTGCATGTTGCGGTTGAGTGTCTAGATTACGTAACAGCAGGTAACTACGTATTGTATCTGAAAGGTATTCATAGTTAACAGCTATAAACTCAAAAGGGACCGATCGATGTGCAGGTAGGTGTCTTTTAATTTTTTTGCCTCAATACCGGGAAGAGTAATTACGAACGAATGATGCTATTGCTATTGAAATTGCTTTACATAAATATCACTTAAATGAAGTATTCTTAGATATTATTATAGATTACGTAAATAATTCTAAATGTTTTTTTTTTTTTATGCTTAGTTGTGTGGACGAGCTCACAGCCCACCTGATGTTAAGTGATTACTGGAGCCCATACACATCTACAACTTAAATGCTCCACGCACCTTGAGATATAAGTTCTAAGGTCTCAGTATAGTCAATACGGCTGCCCCACCCTTCAAACCGAAACGCATTACTGCTTCACGGCAGAAATAGGCGGAGCGGTGGTACCTACCCGTGCGGACTCACAAGAGGTCCTACCACCAGTAATTACGCAAATTATAATTTTGCGGGTTTGATTTTTATTACACGATGTTATTCCTTCACCGTGGAAGTCAATCGTGAACATTTGTTAAGTACGTGTTTCGTTTAGAAAAATTGGTACCCGCCTGCGGGATTCGAACACCGGTGCATCGCTAGATACGAATGCACCGGACGTCTTATCATTTAGGTCACGACGACTTCGAATTGTATTATGGTATTTTTGAATAAAAAGCACACAAACATACATACAAGTGAAGCTAATATAAAGCGTGTAAAAAGGGCTTTCTCGAATAAAGTGATTAGAAAAATGCGCACAGAAGATTTAGCTTTGAAAGTTATTTATTTATTTAAAAACCCAAATCGTGAATTCTAATGTCATTATTACATGACAGTTTGAATAAATGATTGGACTATCAACGCGGCATACGCAACGCTATTATCAGCCGTGAGAACGGTTGTAACTATTGTACAAATATAATGTTAAATTGTCTTTTAGAAAGTGCAAGTCTCCGTGACTTTCGACATTTGTTTGTTTAACAATAATAACTTTAAGACAATGGATCGTATCTTTCATATCCGACGCCAATTAAAATTACCTATTAAACGTTGGAAATGGGGATCGAGAATTTCGTAACGCGTAAATATTCAATGCTGTTGAAGTGTGTACATTTTTAGCGGCGCATACATACTATTTGGTCATGGTCATTGAAAAATACTTGAGAGTATTTGCCTTCATTAAATTACCATGAATAATATGTTCGTCTGAGCCGACTAAGTGTGGATGTTACTTTTTCAAAATAACACTATTCTGCTAAATATTTTCATTGTCAGTAGTGGTCCCCCGGTAGTCGAATTTCGACTATAACTAATTGAAATTATAAGCTTGGACATTATTATGGTTCTACTTTCAAAGACTTCTTATATAATATACTATACTTCAATAATCACAGATTTCGCCTAAACTGCACTATAGACAATTAACATTAAAGATAAACAATATTAACCTATTTTCAATTTGACCACAGAATATAAGAAATAAGAAAAGTTTGACAGTAAACATAGTATGCATGCGTGTCAAATACATGGTAGTGTGTGTAATGTTTTCTTTATTGATTTAATGTATCTTTTATGCATTATGTAAAAAAAAAATTAGCATTGTGCACTTCTTCTCTATATCCTCTATAGGTAAGTGTGGAAAATTTCATACTCCTCCGTCCGCGCAATGTTCGTAAAAAGGGATACAAAGTTTTTGCTTCACGTATTAATATATAAGATTACATAAGTCAGTCCAACTGGACACAGTCCTCTCGCAATTTACGTCACTTCTTGTTCGTACATATTCATTTTTCTCATCCATTTGCTGCCAGCCACTTTTCGCTATTTTATTTGACTAACATTGTGAAGCTTCCATTTGGTTACCGAGTGACTCATGAAAGTTACTCACTAGGTAGGGCCAGTTTCGCGTGTAATTTGTATTATCAACGAAGTGTTATGAGAGATATAGAAGAGCTTGCCCGTGGTAGCTAATAGCACCCTGGCTATTTCTGAAGCGAATCAGTAAAGCGTAAAATAAAAGTTGTACTAAAAAACTGAGACATAGATCTGTCTCAAAGTGGTTGACGGTATTTACGTTATTGAGATCTATGTGCTCCGGTAACCACTTAATACTAGGTGGGCTGTGAGCTCGTTCATCCGTGTAAGCAATAAAAAAGCAGCCGTAATTCGTAATCAAATCAATGTGCGCGTAATGTGAACTTCATTTTGTCTGCAGCTAGAAGCTGAATGTTACTTAATAACGTCCGTAGCTTAAAGGATAAAAAGCCGATATAGACACACGTATTTACCGACGCCCATGTGTCGGCGTTCAAATCTCGCAGACATTTCTACCAATGTAATACGTCCGTACCACGTGTTTCCACCGTTTACACGATGAACGAACACCGTAATAAAAAGTAAGAGCGTGTAATAAGAATGAAAACACAAAATTTATAAAAAAAACTTCAGTACTAGTGGTAGGACCTCTTGTGAATCCGCGCGGGTAGATACCACCATCCCGCCTATTTCTGCCGTGAAGCAGTAATGCGTTTCGGTTTGAAGGTTGGGACAGCCGTTGTAACTATACTGATATCTTAGAACTTATATCTCAATGTGGGTGGCGCATTTATGTAGATGTCTATGAGCTCCGGTAACCACTTAACACCAGGTGGGCTGTAAGCTCGTCGAACCCTCTAAGCAAAAAAAAATACTGTCGTTTGAAGGGCGGTATATAAGGGACATTTGATTTTACGTTCGAAATATAACAACAACAAAATAAAATAAAGAACGTCGGTGGATGCTAACCAAGCGATTTTATCGTTGGCAATTAAACACAATCATTAGGTATTTATTACAAGGCTCCCGTTACCAAATATAAATAGAATAAAACTATTCTTAGCCGGCGTTTTTGAAAAAAAAAAAAAAACTGTATTTAAAACTCGCTACGCAATTTTAATAGAGTTCTTGGACTAATTGATCAAAGCCCGTGACGCTAGGAAAATTATTCGTGAATTATGATAATATGAAACGTAATTATTATGTAAATTTCTAGTTTATATAATGCGAGTTTTTCGAATCATTTGATCGAGTGGTACAGCAGTTAATTGTCTTGACTAACAAGCACCACGGAGTTCCAACTGTATTTTCAGGCGGAGTCTGTATCTTTTAGCTTTTAAACAAAATCACTTTAAAGGCATAAGTCAAGTACTTTGTATTAATTGTATGTATATTTACGGAGATATGTATGTGTATATGTATGTATACATATATGTATGTATACATATATGTATATGTATTTCACTGGAATGGTACACCGCGCGTAGTTCGTTTCCAAATGATTCTTGTCCACCTGATGGTTGTCTGGAAGAGATCGCTCTTAGCGATAAGACCGCCAATTGTACTTTTTTGTTTTTAATGTATCGCACTGTTTATTTGTTTTTTGGTGTACAATAAAGAATACTCTCTCTCTCTCTCTCTCAAGTTTATGATTTTCATTATTTTATTATATCCAATGATGTTTTTTTTTCGAGATACTATTCGTTCTTTTTGAATAAAAATAAATGTTAATGTTAATATGTCTTTTTTTAGCTTAGCGGTGGTCAGCACAACATTCAATTGCTCACGAATTGAACACTTATCTTCTGCTACCATGAAAACTCGAAGTAGTCGAACATTCGAAAATAAATGCGAAATTAACTCGTAAACGTAGTTTTAATTTTATCTACCTCTAAATTTTAGTTAAGATGTTTAAAATTTCGGGAATTTCATTCCTTTTTTACTTGAAGTGTTTTGATCTTGACATATTGGAAACCGAATACTTAAATTTTGGGTAATTTATCCGTTTGTTGTTGTTGTTGTTCGATGCAAGTAAATTAAAAATATTAATACTTTCCGTAAGGCTTTAAACGTAATAAAAAATTAATTAACAATTCGTTTAGGCTACAATACAATGAAATGTTATTGTATTTTTACGATTAATTAACCTTAAGTAAATAATAATAAAAAAATATAGTAAAAATTTAAAATGAATACTGAAATCTGGTGACATGACTTTGAAATCTAAATCATGTTGCATTAAGGTTGAAAACGAAACAAATGGCTTCTTCAAATGACTTCGGCGCGGGCTTACAACAAAACATTTGTTAAAGGTAAATACAAAACTAGATGTAGTATACGTGCACAGCTTTATAAGCTGTATTTTTTGTTGTTGTTGTTGTATAAATAGCGTGCATCAATCAGAAGAAAGTGTTGAATGTGTCGTGTTTGTTCACATGCTTTCTAATGTTGGTCGTTCAGCGACAATGTTGCCGATGTCATATAAAAGCTCCTCAACAACATTACTTACACTTTAAGGCTTTGTTTTCGTTTTATTGCTTACTGACGTTTCAAAGTCGATAGTATGTTAAGGTAATTACAAGCTTTTTACAAGTAAGAGAGAGAAAGCCTATTCTATAATTAACATTCAGATTATTGTCGTGCCTCTAATTTCGAATAGAGTCGCGTTCCTGAGAACCGGTGGGAGCATCGTTTCTTTAGCATTCTTAGTTTATAGGATGACTTTTTCATACGCAATGTGCTCTTCTATACTAATATTATAAAGAGGAAAGATTTGTTTGTTTGTTTGTTTCGAATAGGCTCCGAAACTATTGGACCGATTTGAAAAATTATTTTTCCATTAGAAGCCGACATTGTCCCTGATGAACATAGGCTACTTTTTTATTTATTTATTTTTATTTTATTTTTTTTGGTTTCATTTGTGTTTTAATGTTTCCGAAGCGAAGCGAGGGCGGGTCGCTAGTTTTAAATATTTTAAATCAATGATTCAGTTATAAAAACCAAAATGGCTTAGAATAAACACCTCATTCCCAAGTTCTGTTATCAAGTAAACCAACAATGTTAAGTTCAAAATTTTGCTTCAATTCTCAGTTCACGCCACTGACAAATGGATTTTAATTATATATATAAGAACGCTAAGTTAGTAGTATAGATTTCAATAATTAAAAAAAAAATATTTTAAAAGTAGCCCTTTTCTGCCGGACGAGTGATTTTTGTTTTTTTTGTTAAATTTTCCATAAATTCCGTACATTGTTGTGACAACACTGTTAACGCAGAAACGGGTGGGGAGATGCATTTAATCGCGACCAAGCCCCGTACCGTTCCGCGGCTTCGACAAATGTGGATACCAGCCGTTTTTATTTACATAAATATTCATTCGAAAGTTGTCGTACGCTTTAGGTTTAAGTACATATATCTACATATTTGCATAGTTGACGCTTAAATTACTTAGGTAGTACCTAAGTAGTACCTAAGTAATTTAATGGCTTATAAAGAAAAACAGCTCATTTATTAGTGACGATACTAGAAATTATATTCGCATGAACTTGATATATGAACCGTATGCGTTTGGGGTGATCTTTGAAATTACCGAAGCGATTAAAAATCCTGCAGCAATTAAACTAAGCTGAACTCGACTCCTAAAACTCAACTGGTGACAGAAGCATTTATAGTGCCTCGTAAATGCGTTTCGTTAACGTGCATTCGAGTGATGACCAGGGGCTCTGGTAACAACTTAACTTTTGTCCGATCTATACAATAAAAACACGCAAAGTCGTTTTTTATTTGTAAATGTAATAAAGAAAACATCAAACTATACAAGCTTGTTTTCAAAAGCTTTGCACGAAGTTATATTACGAAACCGATTAAAATTTGAACCATGTTTACGTTACACGCAAGTAGTATGCATCGGCTAGAAACTAGATCACAACCGATTTACATCTCGCTTGTACCATCATCAGATTAGAGCTCCATAAAAATAATCCAGTTGAGATCTTGCAACAATAATTGTTTACAGTTTCTCTGGAACTTTTATAGGGTATCGGGCCATGGTCACCGGTAATCGTTTAACGAGAATCCTAAAATTGCTTCATTTCTATGACCGTGAATTGTGTTTATGAACAGAGTAACATTTTTCATATCACGAGTAAAAAATACTCTTCAGGTACCTATACATTAAATTATGAATAATCAAAGTATTCAAATAAACCGCAAAACACCAATGCTTCAATTAATTTGGCAAATAAATCATTTCATCATACAAACAAAAAGCTTGTATTTTGATTAAATTTGAATCAAAAGGCTAATTTATAGCTGTAATAGACTCATTGGAATATATGTTATTAATATATTTCATCACATAACATTATCGGAAACGGTGTTATGTAGTACCCAATACCTTCGGACTATAATGCGTGGTATACTTGATATAGAATATCTAGTTCAATATTGTTTCAAGCCGTTCATTGAATAGCTGTTGCTCGATTCACAGGTTGATTGAAACTATTGCCTGCAACTGACTGAGCTCAGTTCAGCAAACATGCATAATATAAGGTAATTATGTAATTGCGAACAATACGTTTGTTACTGTCGTAACGTAATTGTTCTGTTTTAATCGATTTTGCAATGAATCAATATCAATTAACCTACTGCAATCATTCAATTAGAGATATAAAGACGGGGGGAGACGTGACCTAGATCGAGATGTACTTAATATATTAAAAAAAAGACGTAGTATTGAAGTCGTCGTGGCCTGAAGGATAAGACCTTCGGTGCATTCGTATCTAGTAATGCAACGGTGTTCGAATCCCGCAGGCTGATACCAATTTTTCTAATGAAATACGTACTTTTTTTTATAGCTTAGATGGGTGGACGAGTTCACAGCCCAGTTACTGGAGCCCATAGACATCTACAACGTAAATGCGTCATGTATTCTGTTTAAAATTATACAATAGTGGTTATATTGTGATATTATGTGATGATAGCAATAAGGGCTGTCTTGTCATTAAAAAATTAAAGAATAATATATTCATTGGTATTTTTATGACTTACCAATAGTTCCAGGAAACCAGGCACATAGAGGGTTCCGCTGGAGGTCAGAACTGCTGTTTCCGACTCTGATCTCCAACTCTTGAAGAGGTTGATGGCCTGTAAATTATGATATGGTTAGACAAAAGAACTATTTGTTCAAATTTTTCTATATTAAAAAATTATGTACAACTTAAACAAAATTCACAGAGGGCTTAATTTTGAGTTCTCTTATTTGAATGTTGTGAAAGAAATAATTCAATGTTTTAGCATTTTCTATGTTTTTCTACTAAATAATGGCGATTTGGGAGCAGAAGTTGTTTGTAGTTTGTGCGTTATAAATATAATGTACAAGTAAAACCAGGTCATGCTCCGCAATCTATTGTTAATTCCTCGATACGTGAGCCGTACTTTGTAATCTTCCAAGGAGTGTGAACAATAACTGTATCAAGTTTTATTTTGAATGAATGGCTTAGGAACGTATGTATTCCTAAATAGCTAAAAGATATTGGGTTCAGATTTCTCGTATTCCAAACAAGCATTTCTGGACAGTCTTTGTATGTTGATAAGTTTGTCTTTGTATAATACTAGCGGCCCGCTCCGGCTCCGCTCGGGATTTCTTTTTTTTTATTTTTTTTTTATTGGTTTTTTGGGTGGACGAGCTCACAGCCCACCTGGTGTTAAGTGGTTACTGGAGCCCATAGACATCCACAACGTAAATGCGCCACCCACCTTGAGATACAAGTTCTAAGGTCTCAAGTATAGTTACGGGTCCGACAATTGACGTTTTTTTTTTCATTAAAATAACGCTTATTGCGGCATAACTATAATAGTTAGATTTTGCTGTCACGACACGTTCTGTAAATAATAATGTGTTCTACAAAGTCGTAGTACATTATTTTATTCTATCATCAATACTTTTCGCAGGGCACGCAATGTAAAGAATATTTTAGATCATTTTTTTACACCTTGGGTTACGTTATTAGAGTTTTAGTAAGGATACCTAAATTTGTTCAAAAAATATTGTAGCCTATGTCACTCGGTAATAGTGTAGCTTCCAAACAGTGAAGAAATTTTTCAAATCGGCTTAGTAGTTTCGGAGCTTATACAATACAAACAAACAAACAAATCTTTCCTCTTTATAATATTAGTATAGATATAATATTAAATACAAATCTCTGAATAAATGTGACTCGATGATGGCACGGCGGGAAGTCGTTGGATGCGGAAGGATCGCATTATGTGGGAAGCATTGGGGAAGGCCTATGTCCAGCAGTGGGCAGATAAAGGCTGATGATGATGATGATGATGATGATGATGATGATCAACCAAATCGGATAGTACCAGATATGTTTTTTTAGAAATTAGTTTTTGTTAATTCAATTATTTTTGTTGTGCGTTCAGTACTTATATGTAGCAGCGTATTTGAAGTGTGCTCTTGCAATCGCGGCTTGCAAATTCAAATATCGATACAGTAACCGCCAGGTGTAATGTAAGGTGTGTTACAGAAACAAGGATGGTAATACATGTAACCTCTATGTGATTTATGACATAAATCTTACATACAAACTTACATGGTATTTTCAATATTGAAACATTAGAAGAAGAAACATTAGAAACATTGAAACATTAGAAACATTGAAACATTTTGAATATTGAAACATTTTGAATATTGAAATATTTAAGGCTTCACCAGCTCTTACGTGTTTTTTTTTTATTGCTTAAATGGGTGGACGTGCTCACAGCCCACCTGGTGTTAAGTGGTTACTGGAGCCCATAGACATCTACAACGTAGACGCGCCACCCACCTTCATATGTTTCAATTTTCGTAAAAAGGCAAAATAAGTTTTTTCGTCACGTATTAATATGTCAGATACCGGATAATTCATTTCACTGAAAATTAAAGTAAGACTGTGCATACAGCGTACGATATCGAAATAACGAACCGTTACAAGTAAGTCACAGCAGAGCGACTCTCGTTGCGAAAGGGACACGACAAACGCACGTTGGCAAACTGTGATCACTGACCACTGACGGACTATTCGACCGTTACAAACAGAATATTACATAAGTATGTAACCTCTATATGATTTATGATTCGTCGTGGCTCAAAGGTAGTCGTCGTGGCCCATAGGATAGTCGTCGTGGCCCAAAGGATAAGACGTCCGGTACATTCGTATCTAGCGATGCACCGGTGTTCGAATCCCGCATGCGGGTACCAATTATTCTAATGAAATACGTAATAAAAATCAAACCCGCAAAATTATAATTTGCGTAATTACTGGTGGTGGGACCTCTTGTGAGTCCGCACGGGTAGGCACCATCACCCCGCCTATTTCTGTCGTGAAGCAGTAATGCGTTTCGGTTTGAATGGTGGTGCAGCCGTTGTAACTATACTGAGACCGTAGAACTTATATATCAATATGGGTGGCGCATTTACGTTGTAGATGTCTGTGGGCTCCAGTAACCACTTAACACCAGGTGGGCTGTGACCGCGTCCATCCATCTAAGCTTTAAAAAAAAATTGTCCTTCTGTCATATTCAAACGAAGCAACAGACTGATGTGATTACTTTTTATTCAGAAAAAAAAATCGTATTCCCACTAGAAACTTCATTAACATTTTTCCTTGACCGCGCGGGTGAAGTCGCGTATGACAGCTAGTTGCTATGTAGATAAAGATACATCATTACACGAGATGTATTAAAGCCCTTGTGTTCAAATCGTTATTTAGTAACATAACGATACCTTATGATTTTCTTTACCGAATTATTAGTACTAGTGGTCCTGCAGTAGTCGAAATTCGACTATAATTATTATATTATTTGTATTATAAACTTCTATAATCACAAATTTTGCCAAGACTACACTATAAAAAATATTAACAAAGACAAACAATATTTAATCTCAATTTGACAACAGACGTCAAGAACAAAAGTTTGATAATATGCATAATAGTATGCATGCGTGTGTGCGTCAAATACATGGTATGTAGTGTGTGTAGTGTTTTCTTTATTGATTTAATGTATCTTTTATGCATTATTTAAAAAAAATATTAGCATTGTGCATTTCTTCTCTATATTCTCTATAAGTGTGGAAAATTTCACACTCCTCCGTCCGCGAAATCTTCGTACAAAGGGATACAAAGTTTTTGCTTCACGTATTAATATATAGATGACCAACGCTAGCGACTTACGCTATGACGTCATCATTCTACAAATATGGTATCTATAGAGAAAGTGCGACCAAGGTTACATATCAATAAATGCGCTACGTGATATCACAAAAATCTTCGTCATCGATATTCGCATCAGCTATCACCCAAATTCATATAATTGACAATTTTCATTACCCATTGTTTTTAACAGATATGACTTTAGGTATTTACAACACAATCCCGTTAACGTGATCTATATTTTAATATAATCTTCACCAAATTCAAAACTTTCAATTAATTACCTTGAAAATTCTCACGCGTATCAAGGACCAATGACGATACAATATTATTATTAGTATGTATAATACTTTGGTCGGTTAATTAAAAGATTTTTTTTTTCTAACTAGTTTGGTTTACAAGAACGCTTTAACAGTTTTCAAATTATACATATTAGTTAGTTTCATTGTGATTTTTACGATGCTTACGGCCCCCTATGATCAGTTATTAACGGTAATAATACGTGAAGCAAAAACTTTGTACCCCTTTTTACGAAAATTGCGCGGAAGGAGGAGTATGAAATTTCTCACAATTATAGAGAATATAGAGAAGGAGTGTACAATACTAATATTTTTTCAAAATAATGCATAAAAGATACATTAAATCAATAAAGAAAACATTACACACACTACATACCGTGTATTTGACGCACACACGCATGCATACTATTTATTGTCAAACTTTTGTTCTTGGCGTCTGTTGTCAAATTGAGAATAGATTAAATATTGTTTGTCTTTGTTAATATTTTTATAGTGGTGAAATTTGTGATTATAGAAGTATAAAATACAATCATAATAGTCTACAAACATACAATTCCAATTAGTTATAGTCGAATTTCGACTACTGCGGGACATCTAGTTAACGGTAATTAAATTATCATAGGAGGGATATGCACACGTCAATTTTGAATTTCAAATATGCGTAATTCGACATGCACTGGACCTTTTTTTTTAAATCCCTATTGTTATTATATCGTTTGGACTTACCACAGCAGCCTCGTGTTGTGACCCTGACGACCTTGATAGCATAATGCCTGAGCAGATCAACTTGCCACCACGGAGACGCTTCTCGCTGTGTCTCCGTGCACCTCTTGCGGTCATGCTCAGTGGTTTTCTCTCCATCGTTGCCATTAGCTGCTGCACCTCCTCGAACCGTTGTAGACTGATTGGCAGGCTTCCTGAAGGCCACATTCGTTCCTGAAAATTTTACGCACGATAAAGTTTTATTTCAGGGTCAATGCTATGTACTCGTTGATGAGGTTAGCACGTATTGATTTTCAGTTGGCTCATTCATATTTGAATATAAATAGAGCATTCCGTTGGAATCAATTTTGTATGCAAACTGTTTTCATGCATTTAAATGGTGTTTGTCGTCTATCAGGGTTGATGCAATGTCATTTTTAAATCACCACCGATTGTCGGTCGTAAGACAAGTTATTAGTCATAATATATGTGTCGTATGAGGCGCGAAACTATTATACAGCAGCCGTGTTTTGGATTACCTCAAAACGTTGTATTATGAAATCGAAGGTTAGATTGATTAAGAGTGTCGCTTTCTTTTTACTTTTCATTACGAGACCGCACGCAGATCAGTTTTTTCCGTTATTTTTTTATAGCTTAGGTGAGTGGACGAGCTCACAGCCCACCTGGTGTTAAGTGGTTACTAGAGCCCATAGACATCTACAACTTAAATGCGCCACCTACCTTGAGATATAAGTTCCAAGATCTCAGTATAGTTACAACGGCTGCACCACCCTTCAAACCGAAACGCATTACTGCTTCACGGCAGAAATAGGCAGGGCGGTAGTACCTAACCGCGCGGACTCAGAAGAGGTCCTACCACTAGTGAAAAAATTGTAAATTCTCAATTAATGTTAATCTCCTAAATCATATAATTAAAGGAAGTGCTAGTAAGCGAAATCGATTAAGTTTGTTCGACTTTCTCTGCTAAAATTGCAACGAACGCTCATAGCATGGCTTCCCACATATCGCCTTTTCGCATTAAAAGTGTACAATTTCCAAAAATATTCGAAATTTAGTTAATATTCGGAATCATTTGGTATCATCACCAGTATTTTTCTCATAAATACGGTCAAAAGAGCGTAGTTTAGTTAGGTTTTAGTTTTTATTTATTAGTTCTATTATAGATAATTATTATAGATAATGTAAATAGTAAAAAATAAAAAAATAAATGTTGCGAAGATGATTCATATTAAAAATATCACATGTTTAAACCTTTAAAACACTCTCCTGTAAAATTAGTAAGTTTTGAGATTATACAGTTTTAATGCGAGAAGACGATATGTATAGCATTGGAATGATTACGTCAGATGTTTATAGAGAATCCTGTCTTACCACAGAAAGGCGGTTCTAGGGTCCAGTCTCCTCTTAAGGTGCACTCCCGCTGGCGAGCTCCGAACAGTTCATATCCTTCGTCGCATTCATAGACGGCTATGGTTCCAGCAACGATGTTTTCTTCATTGGGTATTGATACTCTTGCGTTTGGCGGTACTGCAGGATGACCACAGCGACGCTCTGAAACAACGAAACAAAATTGAATATGAAAGAAATGCGTAATTTTTTAAATATTATTATTTATTATCACTACATAGCGTAAAACAAAGTCGCTTTCTCTGTCCCTATATCTGTCTGTCACTATGTATGCTTAAATCTTTAAAACTACGCAACGGACTTTGATGCGGTTTTTTTAATAGATAGAGTGATTGAAGAGGAAGGTTTATATGTATAATAACATCCATTAAATAGTGGAGAAATCAATAATAAATTGCAGTTTCCGAAGCGAAGCGAGGGCGGGTCGCTAGTCTTATATGTATATAAAATTCTCGAGTCACAATGCTAGTTACCATACTCCTCTGAAACGGTTTAACTGATTTTTATGAAATTTTATATGCATATTCAGTAGGTCTGAGAATCGGCTACTATTTATTTTTTATACCCCTAAGTGATAAGGGTTGTCCACCCCTAACATTTATATTTTTTTTTTGTATATATATTTTTTTGTTATGATGAGGTACTATGTGGTTGAATGAGGTTTTGTTATTTTTATATTCCCTCATCGTTTACAGCGCTACATGCCTCTTTCACTCATTTACCACATCCTTACACACTTACAATAAGTTCGCTTTTTTTTCTACACTAGAAATTCCCTAGAAATCTTATATATGGCAAAACAACGTTTGCCGGGTCAGCTAGTAATGTATAATATAATATGTATAATATTACTTTTCTGTTCGTGCTCAATTGTTTGTTTGAAGTCTCGGACAGCCTATTTAACTGATACACAGAACTCATGTCTCAAGGTATTTTGCACTATTTACGTTGCTATGCCCATGGACTCCAGTAACCACTAAGCGCTAGACAAATGGCGAGCTCATTCAACCCCCGATATGGCATAAAAATAAAAATAAATTCTATATAAACCGAAACGCCAACAAGCGCTTCGATATAACTCAATAACGAAGTCAAAGCAAGACTTAATACAATTTGATCTCGAATGCGGAACACGCTACATTACACGGGGTTCTACATTGTTGTATTATTATAGTTTCCTTACATTCTAGCGTTGTTGGAGAAGACTTGGTTGCCTAATTTGTGTTTTGTGTTGGATGAATTCTCAAAGTTTGCGCGTCACATGCATGCAGGTTTCTCAAGTATCAAGACTAATACTATTAATACTATAAAGGCGAACTATAAGAGGAGTATCCGACATTAATTTACGGCGGTAGAGCAAAATATTATGTTGTAGAGCATACTGTGTTGATTCCTTGAAGCCAATACTGCCAATACGCGAAAGCCGAGGAAAAGTTCAACATAAAATAATATGTAGCAAATATAAACTATGCTATTTCTCATTTTGTCGTTTGCAGTCGACGCAAATGCCAAAACTACTATTTTATATTTTTGAATGAAATGTACAAGTAAGTTTATATTATTATAAGTCAAGAAACACAGAGTTTTTTTTATTTTATTAATTCAGCCTTCTTTTCGAATTAAATTGGTTTGAGCATTACTAAGTTTATTCAACTCAGTTTTTTATTTTATTCATAGGGTCAGACAGAGTATTTTGACAACTTAAGGATCATGTATAAGTCGAAGACGTCCGGTGCACTCGTGTTGAGCGATGCTCCGGTGTTCGAATCCCAGGCGGGTACCAATTTTTCAAAAGAATTACGTACTCAACAAATGTTCACGATTGACTTCCACGGTGAAGGAATAACATCGTGTAATAAAAATCAAACCCGCAAAAAATTATAATTTGCGTAATTACTGGTGGCAGGACCTCTTGTGAGTCCGCGCGGGTAGGTACCACCGCCTTGCTTATTTCTACCGTGAAGCAGTAATGCGTTTTGGTTTGAAGGGTGGGGCAGCCGCTGTAACTATACGGAGATCTTAGAATTTATATCTCAATGTGGGTGGCGCGTTTACGTTGTAGATGTCTATGGGATCCAGTAACCACTTAACACCAGGTGGGCTGTGAGCTCCTCTACCCATGTTAAGCAATAAACAAAAAAAAAGTAGTTCCATGCTTTTAACTTGCCACTTCGCGTCTTTAGCACTAGTTTAGTCTCATTTTAATTCCCTTATTCTTCATTCCACTGTTCTATGCTGATTTGTACATATATCCCAAAAAGGACTGAATAAATCCGCTTAGACTTTTTTAGGCTGGATCTATAGACCAGGGGTGGTGAACTGGAACAGAACCAAGATCTATTGTCTACTAACGAAGCACTCTGCGATCTACCAATGACATTTCTTGAAACTTAATGAAACAATGTGTAGTTCAGGATACAAATAAGTAGTATATTTTCTTTTATTAAAAATATTAAACTAAGCCTGAAATTATATAATAAAAGTAAACTATTGTGTGGAAAAGAGGATAAATAATGTGACGTAATGGTCATTAACAACAAATGATACAAGATGAAGATGATGCGTGCAGCAATTGGTGATTACGTTGCGCAGTCTGTTTTAGGTATTTATATTTTTTGTCTTGCCACGATCGACTGAACTTATAGCCACGATCGATCGGTCGATCGCGATCTACGGGTTGGCCACCCCTGCTACAGATGATCGTTTGTGTTCCTATTGTTGACTCATTCTGTTCAGTCCATTTTAGGATGATTTCTTCTATTTTTAATATGCTTTTACTAGATTCAGACGTATGTATGTTTGTAACGGAATCTTTGAACATGATTTTGACCCCCTTCAAAACGTCGGATTCACTCGAAATTTGGTATACTTATTAAGGACCGATGACAAATAAATATTTAAAAAAAAATATAAAAAAAAATATATTGATAGAATTGAAATTCAACTAAAAAATGAAAATAAATAATAGTTTGAAAAAACTAACAAAATACGCTTTTATAAAAAATACAACTAAAAAATAGAAAATAAATTTTAATAAATTTATGGGGTGCATGGTATCAGTAGTTATAAATATCTTATGAACATATATGAGTAGAAGGGTTATTTTAATAATATCCTGAAAAGCAACCCACGCTTTTTTTACAATAAAATTATGTTTTCTTACACTATTTTTAATCCAAATTTATGAAAATTTAGTTTCTATATTTTAGTTGGATTTTGTATGAAAGCGTATTTTGTTAGTTTTTTTAAACTATTATTTATTGCATATTTTACTTTGTATTATGTTTAAACAAGGCAAGGCTAATTGAAGCAGCATTTACTTTGAGAATGGATTCCAGTAATGTTTAGCACATTATTCGTGCTTAGAGCTTTTTCGTTCATCTATGTAAACCATAAATATATTGTCACTTGTTATTTACTTCTTATATGCATGAGTTCATAGTACTCCCGGTCTTGGGTTGGGTTGTTTGTATTACTTTCAATAAATTTAACCTCAATTTTTATTTATCGTAAGAGTGTTTCACTGTACACTGCGTTTTCTACAAATACGCGGCGGTCTACTTTTATTTCCAGAGCACGTGAAGTGTTTCAAAGAATTCTTCGCCACTGTTTCACAACGCGGTTCAAGTTTTGCATGTGAAAAATGCATCTGTATTTAAAATGGCGATTCGAGAATATGTTGTTGTTATACTTAGGATGTACGTGCATAGTTTTGGTAGGCTTATGGGGCGGTTATATATATCTTATACCCTTGACCATAATTGGATTCCCCAGCGTTAAAAAATATATAAAAAATCTAAAAAAACGGCTTACGGGGCGGTGAATATGGATTTACGAGAGAATATTTCAGCAATGTCTTAAACTTAGCGCATCTGAATTACTAGAAAACGTTGAAAGTATTTTCATGTTAAGTTTCCTAATTGCCGAGAAATTTATATTTGGAAATATATTATTATTATTTATTATTATTCAATTCATATACAATCCCTTCACATTTCTATGACAAATCTCGAAATGCCGTGTTCTTAGAAAACAAAGGGTCAAGCGAGAGTTAAGCAACATTATTAATGTTAAATATCAAAGTACTATTCGTAGTTATCTAGTGAAGGACGCTCTGACATTTCATAAATTGCTTCTTTCGTAAACGCTTGATCTATTTCGCCGATGGTGTTTTAAATTTCATAACAGCAATGTATTGAAACAATAAATTCTAGAATTTATTTAATATATGTAAAAAAAAAACCTCTTTAGTTTGAAAAATATTTTTCTTATACAAGTTCAGTCACTCACTTGTCATTGAATCAAGAGAATATTGAGTATATTACCTAATATAATGTTTATGTTTTAAATTTTAATTTAGATAAAGATATTGAAGGCTTTAAATGTTGTTCTCGTATTTATATTACAGATGAGTGCATATTTTGTTAGATAAATTTATTATAGTTTTAATTTTATATTGTCAATATATTCGTTTTTATACAAGTATTACAGAAAACGCAGTTAAGTCTCTTATTGTCTGAATTATTTGATAACGTTATATATAGATAAGATATTTAAGTTCGTTATGACTATTTACATTTGAATTATTACAAACAATTCACTTGTGATATCAACTATATTTGATAACACCTGTTAGTCATATATCGAATAAGAAAACAGTAATTTTATCAAATTGTTGACAGATGAATTGCATTTAAAGAATATATTTACACAATTTCACACTAAAACGGTTTCATAAAACTTTAACTTGATTTAAAATCAAGCTTCTACAAACCACATAATATGATTCATGTAATGTGAAACTTTTGCGATGAAAACAGATTCATTTTAGAAGTAAATTTAGTATGTGGCCACGGTCGTTTCTGTGCTATGTTGAGTATAATAATTATCATATTTAGTTTCAGCGCTTTGAATCTAACTTCGCATGCCTGGAACACTAGTCACTAGTCAATCCTCCGCGGAGCTTGGCTTAATTGAGAAAGTTTCAATTCAGTTATACACATTGCGGCACCAGATTTCGATTTATATTTAATATTCTGTTATATTTCTAGTGAAGCTCGACCACGCTTTGCTTTGTGACTTTGTCAGACTTTAATAATACCAACTAGTTTATTTGAATTAGATTTAGTTTAGAATTTAATTGA